AATTCGGAAGGGTTATAGAAAAATTTTTTCTTGGCGTAAAGATCCAAATATATTTTAAACCTCCATCAGAAATTGTGAAAGTGTTCAATAACTTGAACTTAATATACCGTTCATATGATTTGCAGCGAACATTCCAGTTCATTACGACTAACAAAGAGATTGCCCATGTTGGAAGAAAATAAGTAAAGGATGAGGCTTATTGAATAGACTCATATCACTCAGTTAATAATTATAATAATTATAACAATTTTAAAATCAATTATTTTGATGAAAACATGAGTGTTGATTTCAACATATAACAAATATACACACCTTTAGAATAAAAATGAGGTAAGTGCATAATTTTATTTCTAATTTTAATAATAATTGGCACCATCACATAGAAATGCAGCTATGCAGCGTCGATGGTCACCGGACATCAATCAGTTGCAGACATGCATTCGTGGTAAATGTTTGTGTATCATTTGCTCCTCCAAATGTCCCCGGCAGTGTGCATCACATTGAACTCGGTTTGGTGTTGTCTTAGTTGTGAGATGCTATTACAGCAATCCCTTGATTAACGCGGTTAATAAATCCCCGAGTTTTACCGTGTTAAGCAAAACCGCGCTAATCAAACTTAAGAATATATGGGAATAATTATAATGAATCCTCAAAAATAGCAAAGTTACATAATAATTTTTTTTCCACTAAAATTCATCATATTTCCACTAAAATTCATCACTGAATTATGTTTCAAAAGTGAAAAAACAATCTGAATTACTTTTCAGATCACGAGCAGTCTTTGTGATGTATGTACTGGCAGTAGCGGCGCGCCTAACTCCATAAAAAAAAAGTCGCGCTAATCAAAACTGGCACCGCGTAGATTAAGGGTAGGTCGCAAATTTTTTTTCCGCGTTAATCAAAACCGCGGTATTCAAAACCGTGCTAATCAAGGGATTGCTGTACTTCCTACTGTTTAGTTCATTTGCTTAATTCAACTTAGAGACAAATTGTTAAGGAACAAATGCTTCTTGAAGTTAGTAATCTAATTGAATATTTCAGGAGTCCATTGCAATGTTTAATTGAAGTTAATAAATAAAATGGACATGGTAAATTTTAAGTAGTGAGTACAAATTTTCTCAGAGTAGTGGTTAGACTTTCAGGTCAACCCTAGGTAGATGGAAATATAATATATGAATCTTCAAAATTAGAATTTGATCCTGCAGTCTCCCTTGAGTTCATTTTTGAGTTCTATAAGTAAACTAGTAAAGTATCATGGATACCAGCATTATCATACATAAAAAATTAGTTTAAATCTTGAGTAAATGAGAAAATTAGAAATTAACTGATTCTAAAAAAGCTGTAGTTTGTCACTATGATTTCTTATGTATGATAATGCTGGTATCCATGATAGTACTATACTGGTCTATATTTAGGACTCAAAAATTAACTTGAGGGTTTGCAGTGTGGAATTCTGTATACCGGTATGTAATATATTATCATGTTCACATAAAAGAATGTATCGAAAAACCTACCCTACCACGTTACACCACCTTCCACTGCAGTGAAAATTGATACTGCCTCATTGAGCTCATTAGAAACTGCCGCGCTTCTGTAATTGCAAGTGGTTTGAAATCCAATCCTGTGTTGCCAACGCATGGTTCTATAGGTTTTTAAAAGAACCTGGCCTTATGGCATTCTAAAACGATCATGCTTCTTTAAGGACCAAGCACCCCACCGCACAACACACCTTCCCCGGCAAAAGCTTATTTACTTCTGAAGAAAGGGGTGGTTTCACTGTCAGCCATGGTGCAATTCTATAGGTTATTTAAAAGAACCTGGTCTTATGACATTTTGAACCCATCATGCTTATTTACGGACCGAGCACCCCACCGCACAACACACCTTCCCTGGCAAAATCTTATTTACTTCTGATGAAAGGGGTGGTTTCACTGTCAGCTCAGCTGATAGCTGCACTGGGCGTGGGCGGGCCTTGTTTGAATTTGAATGCGTGCATAGATATGAAATCCTATCCCAAATTATATGAGTCCTATAGAGCCTAAATTTTTAATATGCATATAAAAATTACGGTTGTGCATGGATTATAATGCTGTTACCATTAAAAAACTTTGAATTATCTCTGATGCAAAAAATACTTGCTTAAATAATTTTATTTTCAATAAAAGTGACTGGATGCAAGCCTCGTTTTGCAAAAAGCCAGATAACTTACAACAAAAGTAATTTTAATTGACGTTCATTTCTAAATTAAAATTTATTTAGCCAGTATTTCTTGCATCAGAGATACTTTAATGTATTTCAATGTTAACAGCATTTGAATCCATGCAGAAACGTAAATATTTGAAAGGTTTTAGGCTAAAATTTACGCTCCTAGTCCAAAGAACTGAAACCTATTTCAAATAAAAAATGACCAATGAATCGCACTTCTGGCAGCTTCTGTCACAGCTGATTGCAGTTGCAGTGCATTTTTACTAAGGGATAGCCCAAGTTGCCAGTACATACTTAATGTAGTCTTCCATTGGTACAAAACTTACAAAATAACCTTGAATTATTGATTGCTAATTTCTTGCATTAGGTAAATGTTTATGATTCAAATTAATCATAGAAGTTGTATCTCCATAATTCCATGTTGAATTAAAATTACCCATAGAAGGTTCACATACAGATGCCAGCGCCAGCAGCGGCAATCAAATGAACTACTTTATTGTTTAGTATGTTGACTAATAATATAATAATATCGTATTCTGTTTAGGTCCAGTCTCTTAAAGTGTTCCAGCAAAATATTTTCCATTACTAATTATTTAAATGTATTAACTTGTGGTGCAGTAAGATATTGAATTGTTTGAGTTCTAAACAAAGATGGCGCGCCCGCATCCAGATGTCAGCGCCAGCAGTGGCAATCAAAGAAACAACTTTATTGTTTAGTATGTTTACTATATTAATAATAATATAGTATACTGCTTAGGCACAGTCTCTCAAAATGTTCCAGCAACATATTTTCCTGTCCAAAATTTTGCACACTGGCATAAAGTTTGAGACATTAATGCATGAATCAGTTGAAAGAATAAACAATTTTGAAAATTTACAATTTTTTATATATTAAAAAAATTTGATAATTAATTTTTTCAATATATGAAAATAAAATTAGAAATTCATTGTACATTGTTTTTTATTATTTTTAATAAATTAAAAAAATTAAAATGCATATTTTATTTCTTAGCTAGGTTAAGAACATAGTAATGAGCAAAATTGGTCACAAGCAAAGGCATATTTTCTCTCATTTGTGAGTGGCTTCTGCCCAATTTTTCAGTTTGGATCTAGAATTTTGTACAAAATTTCAAAAAATCATGTGTAGAAACAATTGAAATTTTCCTACTTTCAAGAATTTCTCACAATTGCATTTTAGTAACAAGTGTATAGATACCTATATAATGATGTAAAAATCTGATACTAAATTTTTCTTTTATATATGGCTCATATATTCAAACAGATCAAATGACCAGACTGGACTGATCTTGAATATTTGAATAACCTTTTCCAGAATTCCTCACTGGTGATACCTAGTCTTGTTGACTGGTGGCTGTCCAGAAATGTAATGCAAAATGGTGGCCATACTTTGTGTGCCATTAAAAGATTGAACATGAATGCTTGGCTGTACATTCACATGCTAGCTTATCCTAGTGCCACGTGGCTATGCACATATGTTTATTAGTGCCCTCCAAAAATGTTCAATTTTGGTTGCTCAATTGTATTCTTATTCCCCTAGACCATGCACAATAGGGATTGGTGAGTGACCAACTGATCATGCACATGTTCAATATCCATGTACAATTGTACAATTGTGTCCATGCAGCTATTCACATTTATGTAATCAAGATTTGGAAATTTCCAACTTGATACTGGAGTCTTGCCTCTCAAAATTACCTTATTTTTTATTACTTTGGAATCTCGCCGCTTGAATGTGCACTTTTGTTTACAATTAGATAGGAGATACTTGACCTTGCAGGAATCTAACCTATAGCTCTAAAAATGGGAAGAAAGCTCTTGTCCTTGCTTGGAAAATAGATATATTCTTTGATTGAATGTAATAGCAAGCTAAATATGTTGAATGCTGCACTGCGTCAGCAGGATTGTATCTTTGCACCCCTTTGGCCTTGCAAAGAGGCCAATTGCATTACAAACTATACATGTTTGTATAGTTTGTATACATTACAACTAAACATGTTCAATGCTAGGCTGACATGTGACAGTGCTGTCACAGCAGTTAACATGGCAGCACAATTGCATCCTTAAGCCAGAATATCTGCTGTTCCTAAAATTCATGTTCATGTTTTTCCTGAAGGGAAAATATCTATATCTTGCACATATCTAACCAACTTTGTTTTCATCTACTCCAGTCCAGCTCATTTGATACAGTATTTGTGAAATATTCCTCTTAATCAGTTCATATATATATGTATGATGGATGAGTTGGAGAATCCTCAAAGTGTTCTATATCTGCACTGATAGGACAATAAAACAGGGTGACTTGGACCATTGATGGGTTAACTTGAACCATTTTGACATTTAAGAAAAGAAAACCCTATAGTACTCAAAAAGTTATTGGTTTTGAAAAATTGTGTTGGTGGCTCTTGAAGAACCATGAGAACCTAAAAATGCAATTGAGATATATTTTATGTAGTATTTACTATGTGAATATTTGTAACATGTAAAGAGGTAAGCGCTAAAAATGTTCCAAGTCACCCTGCCAGTGGTCCAAGTTTTACAGTTCAAACAGAAGCCTCAACAATCTGTTCAGTGGTAGAAATCTTGAATGCTTTTAACAATATTCATCTTGATAGTTCAACCTTTTTATTGAGTATTCAAAGTATGGTATATTTCAGGAAACGGGAAATAGCTCCCATTCTAATTCTAATGCACCATGCTTCCAGGAAGTAACTACTAACTATGTATAACTACTAACTAAATTTATTCAATTGATAATAAGCATAATTTTTTTGCAGATAACCTCTGTTGGTGCTTACACTGCTATCAAGATGGGTAAGAAGAAATCTCAGAAGAGGTTTGGTCATAAAGTCTCAGCTCCTGGAGCTTTGGGAGCACAAATATTGGAGGAAAAGTTTGCTAAACCTTCTCAGCGAGTCAAGGCAAGGTCCCTGAAAACTGAGGCCAAAACTCAGTATTTAGACTTGAGTGGTGTCTTGTCTCAGGTGCACAAGCTTGAAGATGATTGTGCAGAACAGAGAGATGATGGGCTAAGTGCTGAGGTGCTGCACGAGCAGCAGAAAGAAGAGGCAGATGTGCCCCATAATGTTGAAGCCTTAATTAAGAACTTTGAAAAAGAGGCTCTGGAGGGTGTCAATGTACTAGAGGAGGAGAAAATTTTTGCCAGCCTCATGTCAGAAAATAAGAAATCAAAGGAAACTTTCATGGAACATATCCGGGAAACACTAAATGAACGTCACACTGAAATTCAGTCTCAGGTTGATGAAGCAAGTCAGTGTGGTGGTCCTAAGATATCAGAGGAGCTACAAAACATGTGTAAGCAAGCTGGGGAGGTCTTGGCCAATTATCGGTCTGGGCCTATACCCAAAATGCTTAAAGCCATGCCTAAAATGAGGAACTGGTTGCACTTGCTCTACTATACCAACCCAGAGAAATGGAGTGCAGCTGCTGTCTACCAACTAACTCGACTCTACTGCAGTCAAAAGCCCGAGATGGTCCAGGCCTTCTACAACAAAGTCTTGCTGCCACGTTGCAGAGATGATATTGCCTTTTATAAGCGTCTAAATTATCACCTCTATCAGGCCCTCTCCAAGGCACTTTTCAAGCCTGCAGCTTTCTTTAAAGGCATCATTCTTCCTCTTTGTATGGGAGGTGACTGTACATTGAGAGAAGCTGTTGTGTTTGGTTCAGTAGTTGCCAGAAAAAGTATTCCTATCCTTGCTTCTTCTGCTGCTATCATGAAAATTGCTCAGATGGAATATTCAGGTGCCAACTCAATATTTCTGAGAATCTTGTTCAACAAGAAATATGCCCTGATGTGGAAGGTGTTGGATGCCGTTTGTGATCATTATGCCAAGTTTAGATGTGAGGACCGCAAACTGCCTGTTCTATGGCATCAGTCACTGCTGACCTTTGTACAACGTTACAAAAATGACCTCAGTCAAGAGCAGAAGGATGCACTCTATGGCTTGGCAGCATTTCATTCACATCATGCCATTACTCCTGAAGTAAGGCGCGAACTTGAAAATTCTCAACATCGAGTTGTAGCAGCTAAGACAACTGTGCAATAAACTGATTGGGTTAAATTCTCTTCACTTTCCTTATTGGGTTTCTTGTATACTCTCAAGTTCACTTTTTAATTGGGTGTCTTAATTAATGTGCAGTTATTGGTTGGATCTTGATTCGTTCCTCATCTTATTTGGTGATGTTGAGGCCACCTCTAGAGGTGTACTAATAACTAATTAATTAATTATGTTTGAGAAGTTAATGCCTTCCAGTTTTTCACCTCAATTCCTACAGCATGGCTGCTATATGCTATGAGATATTGAATATGATAACTCTGTGAAGATTATTAGAGATGACATTCCAATGAATGAATTCTAGCTGAATCTGAAACTCCTTACATGTTTTTAGGACAAGTGCAAGTATTTGAAATGATCTTTACTTCTTCTGAAGAAATCAATAAATTTTGTTGTGGGTTTTGAGTAGAGCAATATATTTTAGACAAGTTTTTCATGTATGCATGGTGACATGCTCCAGGATTCACAGCCACCGCAAGGTGAATAGCAAACCTGCTATTCAAGGGGAACTGAACTCTCCCCCGGTCCTGACCCGAGTTCACCGAGTCCTCATGTGTACTTGTTGGCATGCTAATTATGCTAATAGTGACATAAATCTCCATCATGTGTGCTTGTTGGCATACTGATAATACTAATAGTGACATAATTCTTTATTCTGAAGAATTTGTTATAGCACTTAAAAGTACCATAGATTTACTCTAATTTTGATGAAAGTTTATTGTAATTTATCCTGTTTTAATACATGATGAGAGAACACTTAATGTGTATAGTGCCATCAACAATACTGAGCACAGCAATTCTAGATTATAAAGCTTATTTTGATTCTTAATAAATTAGTTTAGTTATGTCACCAATTTACCAACATTCTTGACATTGTAGAGTATTGAAGTGCGCCCTTAAAATTTATTTCAATTGAGAGGAACTAGAAGCTTCATTAAGCAAATCATGATCAGAGTTTTCTGTTAATTATTTTTATTTCTTGAGATCCAAGGATTCATTTAAGTTGATAAGACATTACTATTTTCAATGTTAAGCTATGCTAAACTATCCTTATTAGGAGTTAGATGAAAGGCTTGTTTTGTATCAAGTATTTGGTGAAATAAATTTAGGAATTTTCGAGGCAGCGAGTGCTGTGTTTGCAGTCATGGCTGAGTCAGCTGAACACATTCTGCTTCAATGTGTAAGTAACTTAATTTTAAGTATCATGAAAAGAGTATCTTAGATTTTTTGTTATACTCATTTTTTTATTTTTAAATTTATTTCTAACATTATGTTTAATGTTAAATTTATAATCATGTTGAATTGCTCTGTAGTTTAACACTCATGATGAAAAGCACCTTTGTGTGGAATTTTGAGGAAGTTTTGTTGGCATTTCAGTGATATGTGTGGTTTCTCTTAAGTTATGTTGCATTAGCTTACTAACATCTTAAAATTGAGTTGAGCTTCAATGTCAGGAAGTTAATCACTTTTATTGATGCTAGTAATGAAGTTAATTACATTTATTGATACTAGTAATAAAACTAATTATTTTTATTGATACTAGTAATAAAATTATTTACCTTTATTGATACTAGTAATAAAGTTAGTTACCTTTATTGATACTAGTAACAAAGTTAATTACTTTTATTGATACTAGTAATAAAGTTATTTACCTTTATTGATGCTAGTAGTAAAGTTATTTACCTTTATTGATGCTAGTAATATATATAGTATGTTACCTTTATTGATACAAGTAATAAAGGTAATTGCCTCTATTGAGATGAGTAATAAAGTTAATTGCCTTTATTGAGACTAGTAATAAAGTTAATTGCCTTTATTGAGACTAGTAATAAAGTTAATTGCCTTTATTCATTATCTGGCAGTATTCATCATTGCTCAAGATTATTGTTTGAGTGATGCAACTTGGATGTAGCATTGAAATAGTTCCATGACGTATGGCTGATGCAATGGATGTAGCGTGCCTGAAATAGTTTCATGATGTATGGCTGATGCAAATTGTGTGTAACATGCCTGTAAAGATAAAATACTGCATTAAAACTGACCCATCTTCTGCATTTCAGCTGAGCATCCTTACGGGACGAACAGTGGACAGAACTACGCAGTTGATTGATGACGCAGTGTTCACTCTGGTTGTCTCCAAGCTGTGAGTGTCATGTGCTTCATATAGCCTTGTTGTAACTCAATATAATCTATTGCATACTTAACACCATACTTGAAGCTTTTTGAAACATTAGTTCTTTGGCAAATAGAAATGTTCTCCTCTGCAAATGTTATATAATATATATATGTAGTATAGTACTCCATACTTATCGTGTTGGGATATTACCTGTGCTTAAAATTTCAATATTTGTGATAGAATTGCAAAAGATATAAGAAAAGAATTGGATCAAAAATGTAAATTGCTGAATATAAATGATTTAAATGTATCCATGTGTTAATTTAGTCTAAACCGAGTTGATGTCTGAATGCCTTACTTTTTGTGCAGCAAATTACAGATTGATGGTGGACAAAGCTTGAAAGCGGCTGCTCCAGCTCTCAAAAACTTAATCAAAGGTAATTATAATAAATTAAATTTTTCTCATTAACACTTCATGAGCAGCGTGTAAAAATAGCCAGATTTTTTCTAAAAACGTGTAGTGTTTTAACTTAGCGTGTCTCATTTATCCAACCCCTATGTATAAATCTTGATTCTTTTAAAATTATTTAATGTATTTGAGTAATTGTTTATGAATTTTTTCTACACTACTTCTGATCCATGATACGGTCATGCAGCAATATTTATGCATTAATGTTAACCTTGAGGAGATATTTGCCTCAATGTCTTAGTTATCTCATAGCTGACAGAATTATGCCTTGTGTTCATTATATGGTCTTATTTGATGCCTGTTGTTGTGCAGAGCATTTCCTTGATGACCTCATCGATTTCGATGAAGCTGCAAGTGGCAACTCAAACGAGCTTGTCAAGCTGTTATTGCTACTCTTGTACGTGGCCTTCATAACAGACAGGGATGTGATGTTGCTGCTTTCTGATGCTCTGCCTTGTCACCTCCAACTCAAGGTTAGCCCCACTGCACATAATTACACTCACGTCTTCTTTGTCCAAAAGTAAACATTTTTGCCTCTTCATGTTTATTTGGCATGTTTTTATTCTATTTTAGCTCTTGGTTGCTTGTGTTGTACACATTCACCAACCATGGCACCATGCATCTTGGTGGTTTGTGTCGTACACATTCACCAACCATGGCACAATGCATCTTGGTGGTTTGTGTCATACACATTCACCTAACATCGCACAAACCATCCACGAGCAATTGATAAATTTTTAGTTTTGTCCTTGAATCCAACATCCTTTTTAGTTTTGATTTACTGTTTAAGCATTCGCTTTTCTTTGGATAGATTATAAATTAATAAACAAATTTTTGTTATATCGTTTTGTTTGTTTGTTTATTTTTGTTATATGAAGTTGTGGCCGTGCAGGTGAAGTATCTGTTCGAGTGTGTGCAGAAGAGAGGCTCGGGTCTCAGCAAGAAATATCTAAGTGTGCTGGCTGCGGAGACTCTCGGTGAGCTGCAGGGGGTGAACTTCAGTGGGTTGAGATTGAAGTTTAACCCCGGGTTATTTTGGGGCTAACTCCCTGATGTGGCCTTACATTTTTTTGTATATTTGCCAGAAGATGTTTTCATTTTATATCAATATTTACAGTTACATGAATCTCCATATTCGAATTTTGAGGGGAATTCGAAAGTTGAATGATATGCATTATTCATTATTCCGCTCTCCGCCTCTCTGATCTTCAATTTTCAATGACTCCTTCGCCAAGTATAAATCTCACTACCACATAATGTCCTGACTATATAACTATCACAAACACGCGCTCTTATTTCCTTTAAATGCTTTCAAACATACATATAAGTTGAAGAATATCTCTGCACCTCGCTATGTGAAGTGAACGTTCTAATATGTTTATTGGTGCCGTTTGTACACCAAGGGCAAGGTGTTTATGGACGTCATGATGACGACTTCTTTTTCAGGCATTTTTTAACATTTGTATGAGGCCTTAATTTTTGTATTTGATAACATTTTGATAGCGTGGTTCACACTCGTGCAGCGGGCAAAAGCAGTGCTGGGCAAGAGGTCAGGTGGTCGCTGGGCTCTCCAAGGGTCTACTCCAGCTCTCCTAAGGCTTCTTCTCTTCAGTCGCCGCTCAAAGAACTAGTGCAGGTGGGGTAATAACTTAAGCTATAATCACTCTTTGTTCTTCATCAGTTATAATCGTTTTTAACATTGTTATAATAATAGATTTTCAGCAATAATAGCCAATGAGATGAGTCACCACGAACAGGCTTACCTGCTCATACACGTACAATTAATAGTTGTTATACTTATTGTTTATATTACTATTTTCAAGGGAATAATTCATGTATAAGTTGGGCACAAATGCTATCATATTTTAACTGTGATTGGTAGACAAATTATATATCTATTCTGCTATGTCAATAGTATTGTGAATTAGGTTGTTAACTTTTTGTTTATAATCGCGTTACTTATGTTCACAGCATCGTCTCCTCCTGACATTTGAGCTGTGAGGAACAATTTGTGTCTTTGCCTTATTATTTATTCTGGTTGTGATTGTATCGTTTATTAATTCTCTAGTATCTAGTAATTTTGTATCTAGTCTCGATCTTGATTTATGTAAAAAATCCAACTCGAAGAAATCACGAATAATTGAGTGTGTTTGATGCTTATGAGAACATTACATCAGAGATGCCACGACTGTGCTACAGTTCATTGCATGAATGGCTGTGTTACAGAGATGCCACGACTGTGTTCAGTTCATGAATGGCTGTGTTACAGAGATGCCACGACTGTGCTACAGTTCATGAATGTAATGGCTGTGTTACAGAGATGCCACGACTGTGTTCAGTTCATGAATGGCTGTGTTACAGAGATGCCACGACTGTGCTACAGTTCATGAATGGCTGTGTTACAGAGATGCCACGACTGTGCTACAGTTCATGAATGGCTGTGTTGCAGAGATGCCACGACTGTGCTTCAGTTAATTAATGGCTGTGTTGCAGAGTCCAGACTTCGTCGTTCAACGCAAGCTGGAGCAAAGAGTGCGGGAGGTGAAGCGCCTGAGCAAGGAACTCAACGTCCTGGAGAATGAGAAGCAAGATTGGTTGCTCGAACAGGAAATTTCTAAAAAGAAAACTGCCCAACTAGGTTAGTGAGATCATTCCTCTAAGCTCAAACGCTCGAATTACATTCATCTTGAGTTTGATTGTGATTATCCGGTAACTGTACTCGCGCATTGTACTTATTTTTTCGTTGCTTTTGAGGTTTTGAGGTGGCTTTAAATGGCGAACTTGTTCGTATGATATGAGCTCCTCCTCTTAAATTGAAGGTTTTCAGTTAAGAAAGGCAGATATATTACTCATCCCTGACTGCCTGCATTGTGTGTACAAATGCATTTGCCTCCCATGAGTTGCTGTGTCTCTTCCCTCGTATTAGTTACTTTAATGTAAATGTTGAGTACAACAGTTGTTTCCTGCAGTTATCCGATTACATGTACATCAACTCTTCGTTTTGGTTTGTAAATAAATTTTTTTTTCTCAGTGCGAGAAGTACAGAAGGTGCGGCAGCTGCTAGCAGATGTGACGAAAGAGAAAGAAAATGCGGAGAGCCTTGCACTCTCTGGAGCTGATCAAATACATGAACAGGTATTGAATTTTGAATGTTGTATTGAATGTTGCATGTCGTATTGAATGTTGCAGTGACATGTTGCATTGCATTGAATGTTGCTGTTGTGGTTGTATGTAACACGGTTGCATTAACTGGTAGTCAGACTAAGTCAGTCTAGCTTTAGTTCATAAGTTTTGGCCACTACGCTTGTTATTTGCAAACAGTTGCGATGTATCAATTAGTGTGAAGAAAGTGAGGATGTAATTTCATTCGAATGAATTTGCTAATAATGAGCCTGCTTCACGGAAGTTTTCTAAACTTTTAAGAGGTTTTGTTTGGCTGGAAATTCAAGGAAAATTTCGACATAGCTGATGAGCGCATTTTAATGTCAATTATTATGAAATAACTTGCGAGAACGTTGCTTGGTGGCTCACTGTGTTACTGCAAGGTTTTAACACACTGCGTGGCAGGTTAATCGCTCGGGTTTCTTTCATTGTACACTAACGCTTGAAATTTCAGTCTATTTAGAACGATGTTGAAATGAATGGGAAGTACTTCCCCATGTCAATTTAATTATGATTCCAGGTTTCCATTCTGCTTGTTCTCCGAAATATCTTAGCAATATTTAACTACGATTAATTGTCACTTACGCGCCGGAAAATCCCTGTCAGTTTTTCGCAAAGTTCTTGTTATCAAGTACCACTTGAAGGTCCCTTACAGTTGCCGTGCACCACCAAGTACCACTTGAAGGTCCCTTACAGTTGCCGTGCACCACCAAGTACCACTTGAAGGTCCCTTACAGTTGCCGTTCACCACCAAGTACCACTTGAAGGTCCCTTACAGTTGCCGTGCACCACCAAGTACCACTTGAGGGTCCCTTACAGTTGCCGTGCATCACCAAGTACCACTTGAAGGTCCCTTACAGTTGCCGTGCACCACCAAGTACCACTTGAAGGTCTCTTACAGTTGCTGTGCACCACCAAGTACCACTTGAAGGTCCCTTACAGTTGCTGTGCACCACCAAGTACCACTTGAAGGTCCCTTACAGTTGCCGTGCACCACCAAGTACCACTTGAAGGTCCCTTACAGTTGCTGTGCACCACCAAGTACCCTACATTTACCCTGCATTTACTTGCACCACCAAGTATCACTGGATGCCACTCGTACTTCATATTAACCGACAATTTTTAGATGTCACTCTTTGCTTATGTACTTAATGATTCACGCATGCAAGTTTGCGGTTTGAATTGAACTTTGGGCCGCAGTCAACAAGTGGGTGGTGCGTGGCAACTGTGGCTAGTTTACTCCAGACGCGGTACTATCAGGAATAGTTGCGAGTTTGTAACTCCGTCACCCAATCATTGACGGCTTTTAAATCTAATCCAACCAATCAGATGAGAAATCAGCCGCTATGTGTACTTAGGATCATACGGCCATAATTATCTTGAGCTGAAATGTTGATGTATTCTCGTGGCTTCTAGAAGTTCTTGTAGCGTTGGTTGTATGCGCGCATCAGGTTGACAAGCTCTATACCTGCAAGCAATGCAACACACTCGGTGCTTCCAATCTCACATTGCTCACTTGTTGAGGATAGATAGCTCATTTAAATAGACTAATAGCAGCACAGCGTAGCTAAATACACGTAGCTGCCGCTTATGAACTTGTAGCTGTGTTTGATAGTACGGCCCCTGAGCTGCAGATATACGTGATGAGCTACGCTTGATATCAAATGAGGTCTCAACACGCGCTCCATAATAGAACCCGCTAAAAGTTACTTTAGTTAAACTAACTCCTTTTGTGGTATAATGACTTGTTGCCATAATTTCATAATTAATTTGTACTGATGATCCCAGGCACAGCGGCTGGGCCGAGAATTGTCGCTTGCCCACAAAGAGAACAGCAGTCTTCAGAAGGCGCTAAATGATCTCCAAGACGCTCACGATCAACTACTTACTAAAGTAAGCTTCTTATGTCATTAATATGTATTGACATTAATATCACTCAGTCCTTGAATTTATATTGCCAACAAGTGGAGCATTCTTGCTGTAATTTTACACTCATTACTAATTGAATTGTGTAAATTCGTGCTTCTTTTAATTTTGGGTAGTATTCAGTTGGGAAGTTGAAAGCCGTGATGTATCAATGCATTGTTCTAGTTTTGTGTATATTTTGGATTTAGTGCCACATATAACAACTATTATTAATCAGAACTAAAATGTGAAATAAGTGGCTAGCTTCCATCAAATCGCCCACTTTCATTGCCCCAATTAAAAGAAGATTTTTGAAGGGTCTGAGTTTAATATTCTAGCATGAAACTTGTATAATTGTGTGCAAAATTGCTTGTGTGAACTGATTTTAAGTGTTGCAAGATAGTTAGTCGTCTTACGCGTTAAAAATATAAGATTTTATATCAACGCATGTTTTGTACACTAATTGCGGATAGACAAGAAATGCGACTTTGGTGCCTTGCAGGAGCAGCTACAGAGCGCCCTGCTGGAGAAGTGTAGGAGCAGCTGTAGCAAGATAAATTAATACCCTTGGGGGGGATAAATTAATAATTAAATTATAAATAAAATAATAAATTAATACACTCGTCCTTGCAAGAGCAGCTACAAAGCGCCCTGCTGGAGAAGTCTCATGCCTTGTTTATGCCTTGAAACTAATTCTACTAATAACTAATTCTACTAATAACTAATTCTAATAACTAATTCTTGTTTATGCATTTATTCATTGCAGGAGCAGCTGACGAGCGGACTGCTTGATAAGGCCCGTGCAGAGCGGCAGTCGCTGGCCGCAGAGCTCCTGATGCTGCTGGAGCAGCACCAAGTCACGGCCGCCGCCATCGACGAGCGCGACGTTCTCTTGAGGGAAAGAGCTGTATGTTATGTCAATGCTTCATTATATTGCCTTTCTATTTGTTACTTGGGCTTTAGGAACAGAGAACGACCTGTATGTTATGTCAATGCTTCAAATATCCAGCAGCTGGAAGAGCAGCTGCAGGAGCTCTGCCACAAGCCTTACGACCGGACCATTGAGCCTGAGGACTGCGTGGCCTCGCCCGCCTCCAGGACCTGTGAGATGTCCTCCAGCTCTCCTCCTGCCTCACCTGGTATGTGCCTCCTCAGCCTCATCTTCAGTATTGACATAATTTACGATGGCCTTCCCAATTATTTATCCACTGTCAAATCAAGTGTAATTGAGGTATATGACCGGATCTAAGTTCAAGCCACTTGACCGGAGATGCGTGTAGAATATAATCGGATTTGTGTAGATTTAATCGGATTTAATTTGTGTAGAATTTAATCGGATTTAAGAGCAAGCCTGAAATTTTCAGAGCTGCTGATTTCATTTAAGTTTCTGTAACAGATAAGGCTAAAGAAAACATGGAAAATTATTCATCCAATGATGAGCGGTACATTGGCTTCATAGTTCTTTGTAATCTCGTTGTTCCTTCAAGTAATTGAATAATTTCAGTATCAATCCTTGAATAAAAATTAAAAACATTTATAATTTGAATTTCAATGTGAGCTCATCTGATTTTATTTGTGTTGAAATGATGTTGCGAGTTGTTCTTATGGAAAATAATGACTTGAGAATGCGTGTGCTCGCCACTTTGTTTCATACAATTCCATGTCATTGTTGATTTCTCATTGTTTGCTTTTAGCTGATATTTATTCTGCAGTAAAATTAATGGAAAGTTTAAACTCGCATTCCTGTAGCAGGCGAGAACATGGGCGAAGCAGTAGTGGACCTGATGCTGCAGGAGGCCAAGGAAGAGCTCACACAAGCCAGAACTCAGCTGCAACACACAAGTCAGGAGCTTACACAAGCACAAACTTGTCTGCAAGAGTGGAAGTCCAAGCAGCTGCAGACAAACGAAGAGCTTGTACAGACACAGGGTCAGCTACAGACTACGCGTGAGCAGCTCGATGCTATGGAGAAGACTCACGCTGACTTGGTCAATAAACACGCGTCTGTTCTACAGAAACACGAGCACGACCAGCTCCAGGTTAGTTGTACGACGCCTGAATATTGCTTAGTTCATCCTCCAGTACTGGTAATCCTTGGGGGCACAGCAGTGCTGGCAATCATTGTGGGCACAGCAGTGCTGCAATTCTAAATTTTTTTTCAAGATCTGAGTAAAATTTATAAACATTATTTTATGTAGGCGTCCGGGTGAAACTATGTTTAAATTGTTCATGTTGCTTTTAACCTGTTGTTGAAAAATGTCGATTCATTTGTTAGAATTAAATAATTCAAGAGGTTGTCTACAATATTACGCGTTTTGGGTACTAAGTCATTTTGTAGCTATTTTTTTGTAGGAATTTTTTGTTTCTTAACCCTCAAATGGAGCTAGTCGATTTCCTTTCTTGTTGAAAAATATTACTTTGATAAGTCAAAATATTACTATTGCTCAGCGAGCTTCTTTGTGTTGCAATTAGTTCAAATGTGCATCATTCAGATAAACGGGGTTGGAAAAAATTAGGGAAATGCCTTACATTCTGAGGACATAATTTTTAAATGTGTTAAAAATCATTAAAACTTGACATGTTTTATTGTTTATTATTGCTGATTGATATTTATGCATTTACGGATATTGTCAGACAATTTTGTGGCTATAGCCAAGTAAAAATGACAAACCTCTTATTTTAGAAGAGGCCAAATTATTGATGCTTGTCAGGTTCTTGTCATACAATAATTTGATGCTTGTCAGGTTCTTGTCATACAATAATTTGATGTTCTTGTCTGTCTCTTATACACATCTAGATGTGTATAAGAGACAGGTTCTTGTCATACAATAATTTGATGGTTGTCAGGTTCTTGTCATACTATAATTTGATGCTTGTCAGGTTCTTGTCATACAATAATTTGATGCTTGTCAGGTTCTTGTCATACAATAATTTGATGCTTGTCAGGTTCTTGTCGTACAATAATTTGATGCTTGTCAGGTTCTTGTCATACAATAATTTGATGGTTGTCAGGTTCTTGTCATACAATAATTTCATGCTTGTCAGGTTCTTGTCATACAATAATTTCATGCTTGTCAGGTTCTTGTCACACAATAATTTGGTGCTTGTCAGGTTCTTTTCATACAATAATTTCATGCTTGTCAGGTTCTTGTCATACAATAATTTGGTGCTTGTCAGGTTCTTGTCACACATTAACAATTCACAATTTGTATGACCTTGGTGAATTGAGGCTGTAATCATCGCAAACGTTGGGCCTACATATCACTGAAGTATATTTGGTGGATTCTTGAGACGACCAGATCCCATATGGATCTGGTCGAACTGCTGTAAATGTTTGAACATTTTATACGTTGGCCTTGTTACTCGTCATTCAATTTATACCGACGATCTCAGCATCGTTCTCTTCATTACCAAGTTTATGGTGACATTTTGTCATCGCAGAAACTGCTGAACTGTAGACCACACCTGGCAGGTCAATCCTTATGTAGCCACCAATGCCTCAACATTATCACTCGAAACTGTATTGCCGCCTCTCATTACACCTTGTCGTGGTAGTCAGGTTTTATATGTGTACGGTAATTATGTGTATATATGTGTATGGTAATTATGTGTGTGATAATTGTGAAACTAATTGTTTGTGCTCATGTGCAGTGGCAGGCGCAGTCGGAGTCTCTGCTCGCGTCCCAAGAAAGTTTGAAGGTAAATAATCTCATTAATTTCCGTATTTTTTTTATTTTTATTTTTACTCTCGTCGCAAATCAAGAAGACTTCCCTTTCTCTTGAAAATTTCATTTTAATTTTTGTTAATAATGAGTGGTGCTTAATATGCTGCTAGATTACTTGCGTAGGGACCGTAATTCTGTAAAGTTTTGTGGTTTACTGGCATGCAAGCTGACACGTCCATTGCCTGCAAGTGTATATGTTCAAAATTTGTTTTTAGTCTATAATCTGTTTGAACTCTTGTCATTGAGCCTGGTACAGCCAGCGACCCCGGCAAAAAACTGATTGTGCAGGCATAATTACAGAAGAACTTATTGAAGTTTTACTGAGGTTCAACGTTACTTCTCTTTTTCTGTTTTTTTTTTGTATTCGAATCTTTTCTATCAATTTTGTTGTCTAATTGGCTATGCATATGTCAGGCGGCAATATTAAGCGCCATCTGACTGATTATATACTTCTACAATCTACATGAACCTGAGGACAGGGATTCGTTGACTAAATGCGCGAGGGATAAGTAAGACACCATCGGTCTAGAGAACTTATCTTGATAAGGGGTGGTAATACACGAGTTATAATACATGATAGGCTAAGACGTCGACCGTTAGTTCGGGGTAGCTCGAACACTAGTAACATTGCAGCGTTCTTGTCAGCTTCTGGGGGCTTACTAAGGTTCCCAGCCCATTTATAGACTTCGTACTTCCTTACACCGGGTTCTTGTCTTCGTGACACATATGCTGTATAAGCTGTCATAGTAGACTCCTAGCTAACTAGGTCTGCTGGTGAACTCATGAGCATTTGTATCCACAAACTACTCTCGTACACATACATAATAGAAGTGTTTGGACCGATGAATGAGCAGATCCCCAAAAGTTTGGTTGTAGTAAATACGTCATACCTGCTACTGGATGCTTGAAGTTTCATTGCACTGACAGGCTGAGCTCGAGGAGCAGAGCCGCTACCACTCGGCCGTGCAGGAGCTGCTGAGCAAGGAGGTGCAGCAGCTGCAGTGTCAGCTGATGGAGGCCGCGGCTGTCTCAGCTACCGATGCCGGGCCAGCGACCGTCCCACCGTCCCACGTCTGTCATGCTGTCAGAATTTCCTTGCTAAATATTTCTGTATATATAAAAAAAAGCTGCAGTAGTCTTTCTGTAGCCTAACATAAGCGTAGTTGTAAACAGAAACTGCAGTAGTCTTTGTAGCCTAGCATAAGCGTAGTTGTAAACAGAAGCTACAGGAGTCTTTTTGTAGCTTAACAAGCGTTTTTATAAACAGAAGCTGCAGTAGTCTCTCTGTAGACTAACATAAGCGTATTTATAAACTAGCCGCAGCTGTCTTTTTTTTACTAACATAAGCGTATTTTTAAACAGAAGCTGCAGGAGTTTTTGTTCTTAACATCATTTAAGTAGTTCACTCTGAAGCCGTTGATTGGCTATAATGTGCATATGGAGCTAGCATGTTATGAAAAACTCTGAAGCGTCTCGTGCAGCAATGTTTGCAAGTTGGAATTTTCTTTAACTTGACCAGGCCACTCAAAATACTGAAAACTTCGTAAAATGGTTGAAAGGTAAATCAGTTGTATTATTAACACAAATCTTCAGTGAACTGAATTGTTGATGCAAGCTAATTAAAAGCCTTAAGTAAGATAAGGAGTATGAAAAGTAATACTGATTCTTTCACTACAGGACGGGTCTACGCTCAACAAGACAGTTGAACGAGTCAAGGCAGAACTCGAGACACAGGTTAGAGTAACTTCTATTAATCATTTCCTACTAGTTTATGAATTTATGAACCTTATGAACTTTATGGCTTATGGTGACGAGCAATTGTTATTTTGGCCACTTGAGTTCATATGCAGGAGTTGTATCCAAGTTATATGGCATCAAACTTTTACTTTAATCTCGCCGTACTAAAAGTGATGCAGGACAACTTGTGGGAACTTAGAAGATCCACCGAAATCTCGACCTATATTGATGTATATTTTGTTGGATGTCATTTTCGGATCTTGGTATCTATTTTCCATGCCATATTTTATTTTTCCATTTCGATTTTTTTTTGCAAAACTATAATGTTTTTGCTTAGCAATTTTTGTTCACTTCTTTCAAGCTAATGAACTACTTAGTGGTTATATAGTGGTATTTGGTAGCCTTCTTTTATAGTGGGTATTTGGTAGCCTTCTTTTATAGTGGGTATTTGGTAGCCTTCTTTTGAAGTGGGTATTTGGTAGCCTTCTTTTATAGTGGGTATTTGGTAGCCTTCTTTTATAGTGGGTATTTGGTAGCCTTCTTTTGTAGTGGGTATTTGGTAGCCTTCTTTTGAAGTGGGTATTTGGTAAGTGGGTATTTGGTAGCCTTCTTTTATAGTGGGTATTTGGTAGCATTCTTTTATAGTGGGTATTTTGTAACCTTTTGAAGTGGGTATTTGATAGCCTTCTTTTATAGTGGGTATTTGGTAGCCTTCTTTTATAGTGGTATTTGGTAGCCTTCTTTTATAGTGGGTATTTGGTAGCCTTCTTTTGTAGTGGGTATTTGGTAACCTTTTTTTATAGTTTAGTGGGTATTTGGTAACCTTCTTTTATAGTGGGTATTTGGTAGCATCTTGTGAATAATATTTTCCAAAAAACTTTTGCTGAAAGTAACACACGCATTCTGTGCAGATTGTGTCCATGCAGGCTCAGTTCACGTTGATGAAAGACGCAGTCACTCACCTGAAGGAAAATCTAGACCACGCCGCAACTGCTATCCAGCGCAAAGATCATGATCTCTCCATGGCACATTCTCGCGCAGAGAAAGCTGAATGTCAGCTTGCTGATATTCAGCGTGAGATGACTGAGGCAAGAGCTGCAGCGGAGACCGAGATCTTAAAGCTGCAGAGCGAGCTCACTGAAGCACGAGCTTCAGGTGAAGCTCAGCAGCGCTGCATAACTGAAGCAGAGCATCAGACGCAGCAGCTGCAGCAACAGATCAAGGAAGTCCTGCGTTCGATGAGTGGCAAGGAGGAGACGGCAAGAGTGGCTGAAGCGCGACTTAAAGAGAAGGTTGGTTGAGACTTGGCTCTCATAGGCGTTCGAAATTCTGGTTAATTGAATGAATATATTGTGTCCTATAAAGATTATGTTGTGGGTGGAAGGGTGTAGCAACCGTCCTCACTTCTTGATTTAGCACAGTAAAGAAATATGCTCAATTTTTTCAACCCGTCTAGATAAATTTTATTCATGTTCAGTTCATCACTAGCCATGTAACCGAAAACCATAAAACTGAATTGTCGTATTTCAGGTAAGCATCTCCCGAACCTCTGTGTATTTCGTTAATTTCTGATCAGGCATTAGCTACCTGATCTTTACAAGTGCAGTGGTGTTATTTGTATCCTCCCTGGTGCACAGATGGGCGTGTTGGAGGCGTGTCGTGCTCGTCACGAACAGAAGCTTCTGGAAGCACAGACTCTCATTGAGAGCGGCGCTGCTGAAAACTCCGGTCTTCTGCAAAAGATGAATCAGGCTCTGCAGCTGCAAAAACAACTGCAGAATGATCTTGATGTCATGCAAAAACAGGTAATACTTAACGTGGTGAAGAGCTGACATGGTTTTTAGTTAGAAGATGTAAGGCTTAATGTCTTGCAGTGGTGGGCAACACCTGACACAGTGAAGTGCTGGCAGGGGTTGTAGTTAGGGGGTGGGCAACTAGTGCCTTGCAGAAGCTCTTTGTATTTATATACGTCAAACAGTGACTTCGGTGTGTTTAAATTGCTCATTAATTGTTTTTATTTATTTACGTTAGATTAAATAGTTTACTTTAAATAAAATAATTAATTATTTCTTGGCCAATACCTTTTTTGAGAGTTATTCCGTTTGAAAAGATAATTTTAATTTAATTGGTTTGATATTATTTTCTGTGTTGGATTAAACAAAAACATTGTACAAGATATCACAGCTCGCAGAGCCTGCATTGAACAAGCTATCATGAAAATCATTCTGATATCGCTAGCTGACCGATGATATTCATTACATGAAAGTTGAATGATGTGACCGAAGTTGAACGTATAAAAACCAAGAGAAGTGACACCGTAGTGGGCTTAGGTTTATTACGAACTGAACAACATTGCACAATGGGTTGCCACAATGACTTATCCTATTGCCATACAGGCAAGCTAAACGCTAGTTGGAGGAATATCACAACTCCTCCCTCTTTAGAGATTTAAATAAATCAAATTATGTAGAAAAAAATAGAAATTTATTTAGGAACCCAGTCATCATACCTATCAACAGGTTTCTCTATTCTTGTTAAGCGACCAACTTGCTCACGAGATGACTCGGCAGGATTCTCAGTTCCTGCGACAGTTATATTGCCAGCAGGCCTATTCAAAGTGTCCCTCTCAGAGTCACTTGAACGCGCTGGCAAATGTACATAGAAATCGTCAGAAGTTGGTAATAACTTTTGAGCATGTCCATGTCTTTTAGTTTAACCTTGTACGTGTTAATTCCACATACTTCAACGACAGTGGATGCGTACCATTTATGACCAGGTCGTAGGTTTAACGCTAATACAGAGTCACCAACACGATACGTGGGAATCGACGTAACTTTGGCTTTGGTTTTAACAGAAGCAACAAAATTTGGTTTAACACGTTCTCTAACGGAGTAACAGACTGATTCATCTTTGGCTCTTGGGCCAAAAGCTCGTTCTCGGTTTTACGGTTGTCAGTCCAGTTCATGACCACTAATGTACCCGTCAGCCTCGTGGCAGAGTTAATTTACTCCAGATATTATTCAATGGAGACATTTCCGCAACGAGGTTTTGATCACTGAGATATTGTTTACGCTTGGCTGTGGTCTACTTTAGTGTCATAGCTGCTATCGTTAGCAACGTTGAAATTTTGTTTTTATTTACAGCACGTGGAGGAGATTAAAAGTAAAGAAGATCTGCTCAGGGAGCTTGGTGAATGCAAGAGTCAGTGGGACGATGAAAAACAGCGGTTACAGGCTCGTACTGAAGACCTAACGACGCAGCTCTCGGTGGTGACCCAAAATGTGGAGACGTTGAGCTCACAGTTACGGGATCTGGAGAAAAAAAGGCACGCAGAACTGCTAGTGTCGCAACAGAAAGAGAATGAAGCGCAAGAGTGCCGGAACTTGTTGCTTGATGAACACAAAAGCGCGTTAGAGAAATTGAATGTGGAGAAGGAAGAACTGAACGTGGCGTTGCAGTCTTCGCGAGAGGAAGTTCATCGGCTCTCGTCGTCCGTGTCCTGCAAGGATGAGTTGCTCCTTCAAGCCCACGCCGAATCAAGTCGTTATGCAGTGAAGTGCGAAGAGCTTCAAAAGACAATCGAGTCATTGAAGATTGATAACTCCAAGGCAGTGGAGTGTTACGAGTTCAAAATTGAAGAACTCGTGAAAGAAGTTTCATGCCTCAAATCGGATAAAGCCGCGGCGACTGAACTCCATAAAGTTCAGTCACAGGAACTCGAATTTATCAACAATGACTTGAAAGACGTTAAGCAAACGTGCGCGAGTCTCGAGGAGGCACTCAACAATGACAAAGCAACTCACATGGAGGCCCTCAGGGACAAAGATGAGAAACACAAGAGGGAAATTCTGAAAATTAACACCCAGCACCAAGAAGAGCTCAAGAATCTTGAGAGCAGTTGGGAAAGTCGAGTTGCGGAAAAAACGGAGCTTTTGACACACCTGCAAGCGCAACATTCCAAGCTGTTTGAAGAGCACCAGGGTCAGGAGGAGGCCAACAGAGTCCGCGTGAGTGAGCTGCTGAGCAATGTAACTAACCTTCAGTTGGAGAAAAAGGCTGCTGAAGAGCAGCACACTGCATCGCTCTCCTCCATTAGCGCTGACTGCGAGAAGACAAGGGCTCACTGCAAGGTTTTGGAATGTCGAATTCAGGAGATCACTCTTGCCCAGGAAATGCTCAAGATCGAATTATCTCAGCAAAACAGAAAGCATGAAGAAGTTGCGTCACAACTAAAACTGCAAGTTCAAAATTTGGAGGACAACAATACAAAGTATGAGTTGGAAGTTAAGCAGCGCAATTGCGAACTTGAAGAAAGCTCTAGGCTTTTAGAGGAAGTTCGAGCTGACCTCAAGACTAAAGAAAAGGCGTGTCAAGATCTTGAGACCCAGATAAAGACTCTAAAAGAGGAACGAAGTGAAGAGGTGTGCTCGCTAGAAGATCAGATAACGCATCTCAATAATCAAATTGAGAAATTAAATGAAGAGTTTGATTCTAAGGCGAAACAACACCAATCCCAAGTTTTAGCTCTAAGTGAGGAAAACATGAAGACGGTCCATGAAATAAAGGATACTTATGAGCGAGAAATTGGACTTATTAACGATCTGATAACACCAAATAAGGTTGGGAAATCAACAATCTTGGACAAGGGTGCTAGTGGTGCTGATCGCCTTCAGGCCCTGCGCGATGATGTGGCTGAAATAATTACTGATAAAACCTTATTGGAACAGCAGCTCGCTGCCCTCCTGAAAGAAAAATCTCTTGAGAAGGATCTCACAGATAAATTGTCGTTTGAGAAGAGCAGAGAATTGTCTGACCTCCAGGAAACATTTCAAGCTAAAATTTCTGAGGCTGAGCTCGCAGTGAAATTACTTGAAGATAAATTACGAGAAAAAACTGCTGAGATTGATTCCGCGAGTGAGACTTTATGTAATAAGGAAAAGCAGCTCATTGAATGCAAAGAAGAACACTCCAGAAACATTTTGCAGCTAAAAGCTGATCATGAAAAGCGTGTTAACGAAATAACTGCGGAGCTTAAAATGGATGTGACAAATTTATCAAGGCAACTTGAACTGACAAGCATTCATGAGCGAGAGAAAGCCGCGTCTGAAAGCTTGCAGTTCGTCACCGACTTGAAGGCGAAGATAAACTCTTGTGAGCAACGTTGCCAGGCGCTGGAGGCTGAGAAGCGTTCGCTTGAGCAAGCCTTGAGGGAATCAGCCAGCGTCAAATCGGACTTGGAAATTAGGATTTTGGAGCTCGAGGAACAGCTGAAAACTTGGAAAAAGCGTTTGATCGATAAAGATCAAACTGTAAGTGATGCATTGAAAAAGCAAGTGGAGCTTCAACAGCAAGTGGAGAACGAGAAGCAACGAGCTCTGGCGTCGCAGGCTGAAGTTACTCAAGCAAGAAATCAAGTTCAAGAGCTTGTGCTGGAGAACGCCTCCCTGCTCTCGTTCAGGCAGCAGAAGGAGAAAGAGGTGGGTGTGGGTCCTGTCTCTTATACNCAACGAGCTCTGGCGTCGCAGGCTGAAGTTACTCAAGCAAGAAATCAAGTTCAAGAGCTTGTGCTGGAGAACGCCTCCCTGCTCTCGTTCAGGCAGCAGAAGGAGAAAGAGGTGGGTGTGGGTCTCTGTGCTATGAATAATTATTTCGACCAAGTAAGTTCTATGATATTAATTTTGTAAGAACCGCGGTTGGATTTTTATAGCAGCTCTATTTCTGGTATCGCGAATTAATGACTTTCCCTAACCTTGAATATTTTCTCCTGTTTGTGATATAATAAATTTAATGGAAGTAAATGACTCTTAAGAATCAGTTTCGAATTTAAAACAATTTTCTTGAAATATTGCATTTGGGTATCATTGGTGTTTGTTCGAAATAGATCATCAATGCCAGCAAATTTTCGTTTGGTTACAGATGAGTGCAGGTGAAGCAGAGCTATTACAGCTTCAGGATCGGTTGGTGCAGCTCCAGAACAAACTACAGCGGACCGAAGCTGCGCTCATTGATAAAGAAAAAGACGTTGCAGAAGCTAAGGTGAGACAGCAGCCGTACATTAAACTTGTCGTCAGTTGTGATCTTGTTAGGCACTAATGTTTGTTGCTTGAGCACAATTTGCCCATAGGGTTGGACTTCATTGCTGTTAAAACTGTACTATTTTTTTACTTTTTTAGAATTCCTGAGGTGATTAAAAATTTTTATTCATTCATATTGTTATCTTTGTCCAATCTAAATGTCGCTAGTAGGTCATTTACTAGTTTTGTATAAATGGAACTGAAGAAAACGTGTGTACGAATGTTTGTTTCATCAACTGTTCAATGAAGGTCATTGCTGGTTATAAAATACTTTGATTTAGGTTATAAAAATTACTAACTTAATAGTATAATGAAAAGTATCTAGCACTCTAGGTTGCTCTCTAGTCATGTAGCACATCAAGGTGATGTGATAGCACAATCCACCAATTATCTTCTTCGTATTTAATGAAGTTTTAAAGTAATTATTTGAGGTTAGACTTCTTTATAGTTTAACGCAGATTGTGAGTCATCATTTCATCTTCTAGGTTAATCTTGAAACTTTTATTTTACTTTTGTATAATTTTACTTGCTACTTAGAAGCCATCAAAGTCTGTAACGATCGTGTTTCCATAATGGTCAAAGCCTTGTTTGTTGAAGATTAATGCGTCCAGTTATTCTGAGTTATGAAGAAAAGAATCAAGAAGTGTGTTTTTTTTGAGAGAACAGTTTTATAATAAAAAAAAACCTATCAGGAGGACGTTTTGCGCGTGCAGCGGGAGTCTGAACTCAGCACTCGCAGCCTGCAGGAGGAGATGAGTGCACTCAAGCTCAAGTACAAGGCGGACAAACAAGCCTACTCAGATAAGATGGTGAGTTGAAAAGCTGCTTGTAGTGTTTGCCAGTGGGGCGCATGAGTGGTGGGTTGAGTTCACGCGCTGCTTGTAGTGTGTGCCAGTGGGGCGCATGAGTGGTGGGTTGAGTTCACGCGCTGCTTGCAGTGTGTGCCAGTGGGGCGCATGAGTGGTGGGTTGAAAAGGTGCTTGTAGTGTGTGCCACAATTGCTGGAACTTGAATGATAGAATCACTGTTGTAAAGTGCGTATATACACGATCGTCAATTATCAACTTGGATAAAACATGCTGTCATATATTGCGTGCATAAAAGATTGATCATTATAGGGAAATGAAAAATCAGATTTTTATGGGGAAAAAAAATCAGATAACTATTGGGAGAGTATCAAATCTTGGGTTTTGCAGTCTCTTCAAGAAACCGTACTTTAATTTATTAGCTAAATTACGTTGAGTCCATAGTTTGTTGTGAGTCAAGGGGTTTTGAGTGATGAATCTTGAATACGAGAACGACATGAATACAACACAAGAGATCAAGTGAAGACATTCAGAAGATAGCATATGATGGGGAACTGCCTGCAGTGATTCTCTATATTTCTTTTCTATAGAGACATGTAATCATCGATGCAGGCTCGGCTATAAAGAAGTAATCACTAATTTGATATATCAATTTGTTACAATTTCTTCCTCATCAATACTAATTATAATTATTTGTATCTTTTTATTACTCAATCATATAGAATCCCATTTTAGGGATAGCTTACATTTTTCTGAACCGGTCCCTGCATTATTTATTAAGTTTCGTCTCCAGTCCACTCTATGTTACTGTTGTGATTGCGTTGCTTCTTCTGTTCTGTGTTACTGTTGCGATTGTCTTACTTCTTCTATCCTGTGTTTCTGTTTCTATTGTGTCACTTCTTCATGATAACTGTACATTCATTATACAATAATTACTTCATGTTGACGCCTTGCTTTTTTCTTCCCACAGAAAAACATTTTCAAAGACCAGATTGAGAAACTGATGGCTGAGGTGCAGAAATACAAGAGCATATCCGATGACAACAGCTTGCTGGCACACAAATATGAAGCCGCTAAAAACAAACTAGCAAAAGCTTACGCTGATCTCAACGATGCCACGAGAGCCAAGGATGACTACCTCAGGCAGGTGAGCATGTCGATGTTCAAATTAAAATTATACCATAATCAAAATCACGTTATAAATTTTGGATTAAAATCGGAATTGAATTTTCTTCCTTAATTTGTTGCATGTCTCTAGTTTTTTGAGGACACTGGACTTGCTTTTCAGCAATTGATTACAATTTTCACTTTGGAGTTAAATAATGTGGAATTCTTTGTAAGTTAACATTATTCATGATTTTTTTAATTGCCCTTTAATGTTGTATTTTGTACATCTAAAGCATTTTCCATGCTATTTGTGATGACAGACAACTCAGCTTACCGAGCACACCAAGTCACTTCGGGAGAGCCTGGAGCACGAGCAGAAGCTGCGGCAAGAGGCTGAGAGCGCCGTGGAGGAGCTACGCGCTACAGTCACGCAGCTGCAGCAGGCGGAGAGCGCCGTGGAGGGACTTAAGGCCAAAGTCACGCAGCAGCAGCAGATGCTAAAGACCATCACTGCTGAACGACGCACCCTGCGCGCTAAGCTCTCCACTGCTGACTCGCAGTTACGGCTCATGGACAGGAACTGGAACAGGGAGAGCTTAGGGGTGAGCTACTTGTGTTTATGTGCCATTTTAGCTTCTCAGTTTTCCTGATAATTTACAATGATATCTGTTAACTATCCCGATTGCCAGTAAATTCTTCCTTATTGATATGTATTCTTTTGTTTATACGATTCGATTAAAGACCAGAGCATACTTTTTATTAACAATTTTCTTATTGTTTTTTTAATAAGCCAAGCAAAATTTCTTGCTGGTGCTTGGAGATCAAAAAGCAGGTTTCAAGTATACTTAACTGATCTGCTCGCTCTCCTCTGCCAGGACTTTCTTTCTTCATTCTATACAATTAACCAGTCAGTTATTCATTCTCCTTATGGTAGTCCGTATACTATACGCTGATAATCTGTATGCTCTTGTAGTATGTCTGTTGACTATCCTACTGGTGCGTAGTCCTAACTAGTGTCCTTCACTTAAAGCGCTAACGGGAGTCGCTGTAATTACATTTGCTCATTGGCGCTGGTATGCGTTTGCCGACTTGTAGGACCTCTTGAGCACCTCTATTAATCTATCTCATTGGTGGCATAAGGTGTGAGCGCGTGAAATTATTGTAAGATGATATCTTTCTCATTATTCAACGTCAAGTTTTTTGGTTCATCAATTCAATTAGTAGGTTTTTGCTTGGTTCCCATTGTGTTGAGAATACCTTTTTACGTGGTGGATGGATATAGGTTAGTTGACCTAAAACAAACCTTGTTTGACCCAAAATAAATTCCTTGTTTCTCAGTAGTGATGTTTTTCAGGGCAAACAAGACGCAGGCAGCATTAGAAATGCCCTGTCTGAGTCCACGTTGTGCTCCCCTCGTCCCTGCGCTGCTGCAGTTTCTCGAGCAGCTCCTGGTATGTAGGCCATCCGTTCAGTTCTCTATTAGAACTATCTTGTATATTATTAGTATTTGTTTCATGAGTGAATATGAATAAAATTTAAATTTCTATTTCCCTACAGTAAAAGATCACTGAAGTAAATTGTTATCTTAAATTCGCGAACTTAATCATGTTACATTTTTTTATGTCCTACTTCCGCCAAAATGAGATAACTTCGCAATGTTGATGTTCGGTTTAGGCGATGCTCGTCCGACTACGACACAGAAACAAGCTGGGGGCAATACCGAGCGGCAAAGAAGTGCTGCTTTCACAGCCAGCTACAGGAAAGCTGTTGGTCGAACCACCCGAAGCTCTCGTGCCTCGTCGTCTGCTGACGATGATCTTCTGGACGGCTCCGATGTGCCGCTGTTGTCCGAGTCTCGCTCTGATCAGCACTTGGAGTCGAGCGGCCTCGTTGAAGGAGTGAGTTGAACTTCGACGCAGAGGAAATAATTCCACTTGGAGTATCTTTCTTGGGTACATTCATTTAAAAAAATTCTCTCAAATATCCATGATAGCGTTTCGTAGTTAGTTTCGAATATTCAGACTAACTATTAGCTAATTTTTGACTTGAAGGGCTAGTTAATTCTGTTGGAAATACTTCCCATTTGTAATCTGACTACGTGACTTTAGATTACTTTTCATCTGACACTGAAGTTCTTGATTTTTATCAATTTTGAAGTGATAGACGTGATATCTGGACCTTAAATATAGTATTTCTGTCATTTTACAAAAATATAGCCATTTACACGGTAATTTTTTTGTTAAAGCTGTTCCGCAAGCCTTCGATCCGCATCCATGGTCCCGAGGTGAGAGGCAAAACGCGCGCGCCAGTCGAGCTGCGGTCGCTGATCTGCAATGCCGGCGAGGACGATCACAGCGGAGGTGATGCCCCTCAGGCCTGGCAGGAGGGAGAGAAGCGCCTTCAGGAAGAGCAGCAGCGCAAAGCCGGCGAGGCTGAACGCAAAAAACTACTTGCTCGCCAGAAGGACGGCCGACGCATGACAGTTGATGGCCGTATACTGCCGGTTAGCATTGACCTCATTGTATTCAAATTTTTATGTGTGATAACTAACCTTTGTAAACCCGCTATGAATTTCTTGATAATGTACTAAAACTAACTTGAAAACTTTCTTACATGCGAGTTTACCTAGTGAGACGAGATATGCTATCATTATATACATTATCATTTCGCAACAAATGTATGGTGGTGGCTACCTTCATGCAGTGATTTATTGTGTCTGACTTCTCACTTTTTCATCACTAAGGCCATCAATAAAACTCGTCAGCGACATTTTAATCAAGTCTTCCAGCGTGTTGCTGTGAATATATAGATACTCTCGATCCTCGTGCCATCCCTGAACATAAAGCAACGTCCGTATTAACTAGAAATTCCCTTCCATTTTGTACCGTCGATTAAATGAAATTATATAACTTTCATTTACCGGTATGTGTGATTTTAGATTTACAGGTATCATGATTCCGGCACTACTTTATCGCTCTTGTATATACGGAGTAATTTATCTGTATCTCTGTATACAGGACGGTGATGGGAGGCGCCAGTCTCTGAGCCTAGACAGAGCATCAGGGCGCTCTGTGCCTCGCGGTTTGGGATCCTTCTTCAATTGTGAGGACGAAGATCAAGAATTCTTCAGCAATAAGTACCTGCATGAAATGAAGGTACGTCACCGAAGGCAATAATTTCTCCTTTGTGTGTGAATATCGATGTGCCCCAAGGTTAAATTTAAATCGTCACTTGCAATCGTTATTCCCTGCAAGATGTGTACTGTAGGTATTATTTCTTTGCTTTGAAGATTCGCTATTGAGTTGGTGAGTTGGTTTTACTGGTATATCCCATAGCGCTCTAAAACTAAGCTCACGATATCTGGCTGCAGCTTTAGTTTCTGCGATATCAGGTAGCTGATATTCCTTGCATTGGTATTCTCTGCAGCTCTCGTATCGGCGACCTTTTGGTCGAGTGTCTTAGTGTCTATTGCTGTTCATCTACCACTTCTTCGTCTCTCTGAGATGCTAATAACACTCTTTCCAGGCCAGCTAAGTTGCTAGTCAATTTAGACCAGTGGTTCCCAAAGTGGGCGATATCGCCCCCCTAGGGGCGGTGGAAAGATTTTGGGGGGCGATAAGGAAGAAGAGGTCGGTAGGGGGGCGATATGGGGGGCGAAAGAGAGTGGCGTATGTCTGTGGGGGGCGCTAGAAATTCACTAGGGGGCCAAAGGGGGCGCCAGCCTGAAAAAGTTTGGGAACCACTGATTTAGACGCTCAGACACTGCTTGTTTCTTTGTCGTAGTCGGACGAGCAGCGCCCAAACCGAACATCAAAATTTGAAAAATATCAGATTTTTGTAGAGGTAGAGCAATTCAGAGATTTAAAGAGTTTCTGATGGTGGAATTATGGCCTGGTTAGCATTGCTTATGAACCTTTGTTTCCGTGATGCTGTTGCTCGTTATTATTGTTATTTCCGGTACTAGCGTATGCGTGCGTGAAATATGTATTGATAAAATATAATCAGAGCTCTGTTGACTCTTCAAACTTGAGCAAAAGACTAGAAAATGACGGATAAATATGGCGCGGAGCTAAGATGAAATTTGTATGCTGTGACAGGTGGGCCTCTGTGAGGTGGACGATGATCACGACCCGCGGCTGTCGGAGCTGCAGCGCCGCAACTCCCTCTACCCTCCACACATGCGCTGCTCCTACGCCGCCGAGCTGCAGTACAACCCCCACCAGGATAAGGTGGACCCCATCGCTTGTGCATCGTTGGTGAGTGGTGCAGTACAACCCCCACCAGGATAAGGTGGACCCCATCGCTTGTGCATCGTTGGTGAGTGGTGCAGTACAACCCCCACCAGGATAAGGTGGACCCCATCGCTTGTGCATCGTTGGTGAGTGGTGCAGTACAACCCCCACCAGGATAAGGTGGACCCCATCGCTTGTGCATCGTTGGTGAGTGGTGCAGTACAACCCCCACCAGGATAAGGTGGACCCCATCGCTTGTGCATCGTTGGTGAGTGGTGCAGTACAACCCCCACCAGGATAAGGTGGACCCCATCGCTTGTGCATCGTTGGTGAGTGGTGCAGTACAACCCCCACCAGGATAAGGTGGACCCCATCGCTTGTGCATCGTTGGTGAGTGGTGCAGTACAACCCCCACCAGGATAAGGTGGACCCCATCGCTTGTGCATCGTTGGTGAGTGGTGCAGTACAACCCCCACCAGGATAAGGTGGACCCCATCGCTTGTGCATCGTTGGTGAGTGGTGCAGTACAACCCCCACCAGGATAAGGTGGACCCCATCGCTTGTGCATCGTTGGTGAGTGGTGCAGTACAACCCCCACCAGGATAAGGTGGACCCCATCGCTTGTGCATCGTTGGTGAGTGGTGCAGTACAACCCCCACCAGGATAAGGTGGACCCCATCGCTTGTGCATCGTTGGTGAGTGGTGCAGTACAACCCCCACCAGGATAAGGTGGACCCCATCGCTTGTGCATCGTTGGTGAGTGGTGCAGTACAACCCCCACCAGGATAAGGTGGACCCCATCGCTTGTGCATCGTTGGTGAGTGGTGCAGTACAACCCCCACCAGGATAAGGTGGACCCCATCGCTTGTGCGTCGTTGGTGAGTGCTTGACGTAATTTTGGTTCATATTAGATTGTTTTTTAATTTATTTAAATTTTAAAGTTAATATTCAATTTTCGATCTGTTCTGATGCAGATTTCTAAGCTTTCGTTGCGTTTCACTTCATACGCTCCATTTTTAATCGTTTATTAGATCACATTCGCGTGAGAATTGTTTTCAGTTTACTTGCAAAGTCTTTAATAGCCTGTAAAACAGAATTATGTTGAAACTGAAAAATATTTAGAGGTTCATTTCGTTATTAATGATGAGCAATGGTCTTCTGTTACCCAGATGACCAAGAAGGAGCTGGGTGTTGAAGATTTAGAGTCTGCCACTGAACGTCTGGTTATTGAGTCTCCAGCCTTCAATCTGCGCAAACGAACTCTTTCTGATTCGTTTACGTCAAGCAGCTCCCTTGACATCTCGTTTGGCAAGAAAGTTCGACGGCTGTCCGTAAGTCTCTTATCATCTCTCTGTAATATGTTCTTGGTGCGCATTTTGCTTGCAGTTTTGCAATAAAGCTGTATTATGAACACATTTTTTATGAGAGTTTTTCAATAGCATTTATTGTGTATAAACTGATATAATACTTACCTATCATTTTTATTATAATGTTAAAGAGTCTAGCTTAGGTTATTTATAGAAGCATTTATTTATTAGTGTTTTGTTGGTCAGACTTCATATTCTCGTCCTGGCCCGCCCACGCCTGGTCGTAAGAGCATCGGTCGCGCCGACAAGGAGAACAGGAGAGTGAGTCACTGCGTCCTGTCATTACAGAGACAAACTTCTCTTATTACTGCTTACTTTCTATAGGTTGCTCGCATTTATAATTAGTTTAAGAATGTGTTCAATAAAGCCGGCTTTTAGCTAAGATGTTTAACTCGTATCACTGCTTACTCCCTATAGGCTGCTCGCATTTTATAATTAGTTTTAGAATGAGTTTAATAAAACCGCTTTTGCGTAAGATTTTCAAACCATATTACACAACTTGAAATTTTTTGTATTCCTATGACATACGTCTGAGTATTATTACATTAAATCATTCAAATTGCTCGTTATGTTTAACTGCTTTATGTTAAGCAATTTTAATGCTTGTTCATGAACATATTTTTTATTTTTTCAAATCTATATATGTACAAGTTCTTCAATAAAAATTTTTTATTGCCTCAGTGTCCGAAAACAAATTCTTAGTGTGGCATTTACTTTACTCAGCATTTTAACGAGAAAAATTACCTTAATCCATTCAGAGATTCTTGTATTATTTATTTTCAACGGATGTGGACACATTTATTTCATAGCATAAACATAGAAATATTTCAAGCATAGTATGGTTTAGAAAAGCACTTCTCCTTTGGTCAGATAAGCCTACGGTCGCAAGGGGCGTCCCCCTCCAGCCGTTCTCTGGGCTCGTGTTCATCCTCGTCGGCGCTGCCGCACGCTCCTGTCAGCAGACGCGTGTCACAATCTCCTTCACTTTCCGTCATCCAACCTACGCCTGCCAAGCTGGTTCATGCTAAACCTGCCTCGCCTACTGCGGTAATTCTAATACAATACCACCCAGTGTTGCACCACTAACTTTATTCCTATTTTAAGCTTACTAAAGTATTTTTGTACATCTCTTTGTCCTCGTTTCCTACTGACACTGGTCGTTTGGCAATTTACGAGTGGTAATTGAAAATATGTTATGGTAAATAATTGAAAATTGTTTATTTTATTATCTAGTCAGAGCCTATGTAAATTTTTTATTTTATTATTTAGTTAGAGCCTAGATTAGAAGTAAAGAAAGTTTTTCATGATGGAAACAATTAAGGTAAGGATGTATATATGTGCAGAGAAGCATGAGTGGCGGGTCGTCGAGTTCTCCCGACAAGGAGGTCACTGTGAGCAGTCGAGGGCGAGCAACTCCCGCCGCCCGCCGCTCTCATCTTCCCCACACCCCCGCCAGCATCAAGCGACTCATCAGGGGCAAGAGTCCCTGGAAGAAACTTACTGATGCTAGCGAGGTATTTTTTGTATCCTAATTTAGCATGAGTTTCTTGGGATAACTTATTCGTACAAATAATTGCTAAATGAGTTATTTTCGTTTTTAATGTTTCATTAACTATTTTACTTCAACTTATTATATTTGATGTACATTTACCTAAGCATTCCGTCAAATGTTCGTTCTAATTTACCGTAAATGCATGTCCTTGCTTTTTAAGCTTTTTTCGCCCATTTCAACTTTGTTCACGTTGCTTGATACTCCGGTGCAGTTACTTTAGTTTCTTATTACATATATTTGAAAAGATTTACTAAGTAGCTTTTTCAGGCCTACGATAAGATGTCGACCTCTGCAATCACTTTTATTCTGTTTTCAATTCTGTCCGGGGTGGGAAAATCTTAGCCATCTAATTAGTACGCTGCTGCCATATCGCTGATCCAACTTTACTTTCATAATAAACAAATATTTGTCGCCAGTTTTTCTATTCTCAGATCTTCCAACAAATCGAGGGATTCAAACCGATTGCGTTAGAATAACGATTTATTAAATTGTTATGCAAGTTTACCTAAATTTGTACATATCACCAAACCATGAATGTTTTGGCGGCAACTATGCATGTACATGTTCATGCATGACGACGATATCTATGCTTCATTTATGGTAACAACGCAAGAACTGATGCCTCTATTTGAGCGATAATGAGTAACAATTTATGTTCAAACATGCAAGGTGTTTTCATTAACAAATAACTAAAGCCTGGCCTGCTGCTTAGCTTGCCGCACCTCAGCTTTGTATCCTTTCTTTCTCAGACTCCTAAAGCAGACGCCAAGCTCAAGATTTTCCGAAGACCATTTGGCTCTAAAAATTACAATGTACTCTCAGCTTCTCAAAGGTGTGTGTGTGTGTGTTGTTATTCAGAATATTAAGTTGAATTTTACTATGAAAAATTTGGCTTCAAAATAACTGAAATGAAATATCAAATTCAGCAGGCATTATATATTATAGGTAGTTAGTAAAGAGGAATAATTATGACACTGGTGTCTCTAAATATTAACGACTTCAGAGATGACACAAATTGAAGAAATTGGATCGCTTAGCTCTGTAATAGTCAACTTTAAAAAAATAGAAAATAAAATAACATCACACTTGAAATCATAACAATTTGAAGGAAAGGCATATGAATCATGAATTATTTCCCTAGATCAATACTCTAGTGTTTCCCCTGATAAATTAATTCATTTTATGTGCGTAATGTACAACTTGAGACTCACGTTGCGTAATACTACTATTGGTATGGCCCCAATTTCCTTGACTATTGCTATCTATGGGAGAAATGCATTCGAGTTATTTCTTAAAGTAATGTCTAGATATCATGTTTTAATGATTTCTGTGTGGCACCAGGGAGCGCGAAGGTCCTGATGCAGCCGCTGTCCAGCCATCGCAGGCGACGTCAAGTAAAGGCCCGCAAACATCAGGCAACCGCGCGCGCCGCCACAACAACACGTGTGTCTGAGGGAGGCGCCTGCCGTGCTTGTCGGTTAATTCACTCTCTCGTCGGACCTCACGGGAGGCAGATTAACATTGTTGTTTCTAGGGACAAAAATTAAGTACTGAGAACAACCAATGATCTCGGTGACACACGCGTCACTATTAAAGTCTTTAAGGTTGTGATTTTAATGTTTGACTGCCAAATTAAGGCAGATTCTTTGGAAAAAATATCTCAGCTGTATTCGTTGGAAATGTTATACCCATGAATGTTAGGAGTAATTTCTCTACTTTCTTTCTTCCTTTCCTCTCCTTTCTTTCTTGGATTTCTCTTTGCTAAGCTTCGAAGAAATAACGTCTTTTTAGAATTTAATGAGTAGGCTCACAGAAGTTACTCTGTTCCAGCGTAGACACTGTGAGGATAGCTATTTCTTATTGTTTCGCTTAATATGCTTTTAAGCGTTGCAGTAAACGCTAGATTTTATTGCAAGCATGAACTTGTAGATGTTAACTTTTACAAATAATCTCGTGTTTTTTTCTGTTGTGCAATTCTTTTTATCAAACCTTTTCGATGGCTTTGCATTTCAGTTTTAAGTCTTGGCAGGCCAGAGTTCCCTGGAGATGCGATCTTTTATTTTTGGCAGATTTATTAAATGATCGTTGAATTGATCCTTTACTCCGAAACACAGGAGTATAAATCCGAATATTACAATGTAACGTAGTTTAAGTCTTACAATATGATCCGAGTTTGGTCGTCTATTTCAGTGGAATGTAGTTCATGCTGCTCTCAATAAGTCAGATCACCAATATTGAATTCGATCAACGAATGTCTTTAATGCTTTATTACGTGACCGAGCGGCTAGATCAATACAATTCTTTAGCGAACCTGATCAACTTCTTTCACAACTGTAAGAAATGTGACGCTAAAAAATTTAAACTTACGGCCAGTTGATCTATGTATTAATAGCTAATTTTTCTACATTCTTGGTTTATTTTACTAGGTTTTTATTTCAATAAATCCTATTTCAGATGGTGTTTCTATCCTGTGCTAGGTGTGGACCAGATGATATCGTTTTCGAGTCTCCGACTGTTGAACTATTGTCTTCCCATTTATGGTCGGCTCTAGTTACGCGAGTTCGCCAGTAGTGAAGGTTATTTTTTTCGGTTATTTCCTTCAGCGGAAACGACGATAGAAAAGTTATTAACAATGATACCTGGTTGTAAACACGGGCAAGATCCGCCAAACGTGGAAAATGAAAACGCGGTTCATATATGTACAGTTTATAAACACTACGCATCGCCCAATGGGCAAAACTCTTGAAGAAAGTGTACCAGAATAAAGACACTCGGCTGTGACCCAATCAGGATTTTGCTTACTATTTCCTGTGACGTCATGTCAGAGGTCTGTTCGAAATTCAATGCCTCGCCAAGGTTGCTTGCTCGGGAACCATCCCTCGAATTTACAGAATTTATATAGTCACTAATGTCCCTTTCATGCTTGTGGAAGATATTAGATCTGCACCTATTAACAAAAGCTAGTTGCGACATCGAAGCACACTGAAATTAAACTTCATAAAGAAATTAGATTGTGACCGAACATTATTTTGTACTATTGAAGCGAGCGCCGAGGTTTTAGTCACTAACCGTCAGTAAGATCCTACTGCCAATAGGGTTTGGGATTACATCGAAGGAAAAGAATGTCTTAATGTCAGTATCGACAGCAGGAGCCAGTAATGGTATTATTCCTTGATAATTTATCCCAAAGTCGTCATGAATCAAAGTGGGGCAATTAAATATATTTTTTGACAAGACGGTCATTGGCAACTGACATAATCGAACGATGATAACGGTTACAAAATCGTACCATGAATAACTGAATTTAAATATTTACTCAACATTTAATAGTAAACATGTACTTCTAACATCAACCGTTTTCATTGAACCTAACTTTGCAGATGTGTAAATTCTAGAAAATTCATATGTTCCTTATCATATTTACCAAAAGCTTTGCAGTAAACGAGAACTTGCGGCACAACCTTGGGCTCTTACAGGCTCAAAACTGCGATTCTTTTGCACGACCTTACCTTAGAAAATGCCTTAGATATTAATTATGATGCCAATTACAGGCTAGCACTCGGAACATACGCTAGAGGTGGTATACAAAAATGTGGAGGCACACCGATTAGCAAAAAGAATAAAAATTAACCAGTGAAATACTTAGAAATCAATACAATAGCCATCAGCATTGACGCATTTGGACGACATGAATCGCACGTAGGCAAAAAGCTAACAAAATTAATAATAATCCAACAATATAATTTAGGAAATTTTACAAGGTTTTTGAACAGAAAAATTTATTCTATAAGTAATTTACAATGAATTTCATCCTTCCATCGAAATATTACTAGGTTTTTAGCGCAGTTACTGAACGTTCTGATCTAATATATGAACTTTCGAAGGAAAGGGTATCAAGTTGAATATAAATTTTCAGCAAAATAGTTGATTATGTCCGAAGCATATACACTTGTAAATCTTGATTTAATAGTTTAACATAATTTGTAATGCGTCAATGCACTCTAATTACAGGAAACGTTCTTCTAGCAGCCCTCATTCGTTCTCGGATTTTGAACAGCACATCAACAACGAAAATTCCAACTTAAAAAAAATTCTCGACACGCAAAAAACGAAATCGTGAAGCAAGCAAAAGGCAACAAGAGTATAAGAAAACTTTAAAACATTGAAGATGAAACATAGAAGGTGAAATCTAATGGCTGGTTCATTTAATTGGAGCGAATGGAAAGGTTCATCAGTGGCAAATTTGAACAGCATCATTTGGACAGATTTCTTTCACAAAAATTTGGCGCTGATTTTCTGGCGCCTATGTAATGGAACTTTACTAGAAATAAAAACCCCTACAGGACAGCTTGACGGAGAAATGTCAGGTCACTAGCGCACATCGAATGAACGACACCATAAGTAATGGCAAGGAGTCGAACTCTTGAAACACTTGAAAGCACAGCAGAATAAATGTACACCTAATAGGAATTGAAGAGCATTATAAAAAGGAGGTCACGTTCATTCTGTTCAGGTAAAAACTTACGATCGCCATTAAATCTCGGCTCTTATTTGCTTCACTATTCTATGAGAAAGCTTCCAAACAGGTCTACATAAATAACAGTGAATTCCGGTAACAAATAAAAAGATCAACAACTCTTCATCGATGGGTAGGATAAACAGAATTTAGTCTACGCCTTCCAAGTTAAAACTTAGATCATTGGAGCTAATAAACAGCTATGGCTTCCCACAAAGCAGCGAAAAATCCGATATTATGTATTGCCAATTGAAAAGAACATGCTGATGCGGTGATGAGTAGAAACCGGCATAATTCGTGACAAGCATTTTCTATCAGAACGCCGAATTGAAGTAAGAAGCAAACGCTTTCATTTTCATTTCAGTGCAGAACTCCAATATCCGGTGGAGCTGAATTCCGATATGGCAATGAACCAAGACACACTTACGATCTAGAGACACTGAGCTAAAATCGAACTTACAGGACGTCATTAAGAACTACAGATTCGTATGCGTCTTTCCTGAATTATTAAGAGGCTCGTGACCTCCACAAATACGGTACAAAATTAATAGCTCACCATATTATCAGCAGCATAGTTATAAATATTCATAAATTAGATTAATGAAGTCATAATCCAACGAAGATTCCCGATTGCAAGTATCTTTCTGAGGGCATTGCACCGAATAAAACTTGTAACATGAATATAATAAATAGCGTTTTGGATTTCACTGCAAAATCAACAATAGCTCAATGAAGCATTTCGTGAGGAAGCTTGTATAAAATAAGTTAGTTGAAAGAATCTCAACTTGGGTTCTAGTTTAATATTAAATTATTGTTTGGGAACTTTTTATGGCAAGGAAGAGAGTACAACGGAGTACAACATAATTAGTATTACATTGCCCGGCGGCGCTGTATTAGCAAAGATCAAAATAGTCGAACTATCGATATAGTCTTGATAATCTTTAGAAAGCACCTTCGTTGATGTCTGAACAAAGTTACGATGACCTTACTATTCTACATTTAATGCGTATAACAAATAATGAAGTAGCTTCTAACACAAGCAGAACACCTATCACAACAACACTTCTCACTCTCTAAAACCTTGACAAAGCAAAGAATTTACACGTTTAATTTCAATGAACACATTGAAAGCATGAACAATTAATGTCTGGCGAGTTCATCTTTCACAAATAGCACCGCGGTCATTAGCCTCCACACTCCAGGGCTGAACCAATCACCAGTAGGTATAAGGCCGTCAGGAGCGATTGCGAAGGCACTCCATAGAGAAATATTTATATATAACCGAAGAACAAACAAGACAATTTATCGTTTGCTGATGTCAACTCATCTCGAGGCATGGAAAAGAGATTCAAAATCTGGCCTTTGAAATAAGATGAATTTACTTCGCTGGAACCTGTTGCTATCTCGACCTTTTATTTATTTGGCTTATGAGTGGTACTCGCAAGGTCCAAAGTCAGTTCTTGATTTAAAACATCAAACGATCGAATTTTGTGGATGAAAAATGATCACATTTACTTTACTATTCCATGATAAAGAGCTATAACAATTTCCTGTATGATCCCCCAGTTTCATGAAGGATTGTCAGTTACTGGGTATTCAGCTTTGCGGTGTTCCCAACGTTTGATTACAACAACATTTGCTTGAAAAAATTTCCATTACGCGAAATGGGGTGAGAAAAACATTTTTACTAGTTATCAGAAAATAAACGACTTTAGCAGCGCGCATATTCAGGCATTGAAAAGCACCTGCTCCCTCATTAGCTGCAACGCAAATAAGCCAAGATTGTATTGAGACTCACTCGAGGTAAATTGTACTCATAAGAAGCAGTAGCCTTCATCGCAACTCTTAACAATCAAGAACCCAAAGAGTTTAAAAACGTAAGAACATTGAGCACGAAATTAATCTCTTGGTAAGAAAGAGTCCATTTCACTGAAATAGGGAGCACGGAAGGATAGCACACTTATAATAAAACGGTTATTTTCAATGCTTGCTTCAAAAAAATGCCACAGAGGGTTTTGGTAGTGGGGACAGAATATTCATTTAGAGAGAAATATGGCTATTTAAATGAGGGCAGTGAGGCTGTTTTCGTGACTGAAATAGTGAAGAAAACAACGTAATTCAAGTTATTTTCGGATATATCCTAGCGTAAGTTCATACTATTTACTAATGGTAGGCTTTACAAAAATTCTACAACAGTGACATGGCGGTTGTTTGAGATAACGTGCAAACCTGAGTTGAGAAGTAACGTCATGCATTAAGTTACACATTGTAAAACAATAATCAGTTAAGTTAAAAGTAGAAAAAAAGCTGTCCAAAAAAGGGTCGCTTCGGACAAATACAACTCGCAATAAACGTGAGGGTCAAACAGCGCATGAGGAATAGTTGCAAATTTTAGAATTAATTATGATGCAAACAGTTGGATGTATTCCTTTCACTCAACTTGGACTACGTTGCTCAAGTGCTAAGTTATGAATAACGAAAATGGCAATCACTCATGAAATTGACTGGTAAACCAATTTTATCTTGCTCAATGATCACAATCAGCAAACTGTACAGGAAGCAACAAAATTTTTCATACATTGCGCCATAGGTATAAACACATATAACTATAGGTTTACGTTCACTCGAATTTGTTACAGTTTCCAGAATTTGCAGCACAAATTGAAAGTTATTTCAAGAAGGGCTGAAGATAAAAACGGCTACCGGACACCATGATTGGAGAAAGGCAACTCGCTTACTTTACGACAGTATCAACACTGAGGCCTTCAACTCAGCAAATTACACTGCGAATCTCAGTTAAGACTTTCATGTCTCTTCACCAGAACACCAGGCTCCCAACAGCATCACACAGCAAAGCAATGCTTTCTTCACGACTCGCTGCTAAATTTAGTCAAAAATAGAATTTTTTTTCATAAAATATTCGAATAATAGCAGACCAAGAATTAGAATGACAACGAGAAAAATCGATTCTTTGACCAATTTCCATGTTAACCGTGAGTCATCGCACTCGGTATGGTCAACGAACCATTGTAAATGATGCTTCACCAGGCAATTTCCAGGCATATAACACACAGCTTATCATTTAACATTATAATGTTATATTACCCAAATAAAAAATAACAGCAAGATCGTTTCATAACTTAACTATTTCACAAACAAAGACAACAAAAAAACTAATCTTAAAGTAACGCTGAAGCGCCTGCATTCGACGTCATTGCCTCGCATAAAACTCGTTGAAATTAGTGACCCTAGGGCAGAGGTAGGGAAGATCCTTCGTCTTGTATACGGAGTTACCAACACATTGCACGGGCGCGATTTAAGGGAGATACGATACGTCAAGTGCCACATAGAGACTACTTATAGGGGTCCTGAGTTGATCTTTTGGCATCATCCACATGTCACTTTAGTAGTTCATCAGACAGTAAGCACTACACACCGAGAATCAAGGAACAGACACTTCGATTGAGTGAAAAATTACTAACGGACTGACATAGAGCTGAGACTTAACTAAACCCAGCATCAGTTGAATTAGCAGGAGCATATTAATTAAGCATCCAAAGGACTATTACCTTTTCACCTGAAGTTTTTACGCACGTGTCGTCAACCTCAACAATTCCTCACTTTTTTAGTTGCCATGCAACACCATTTTCAAATGAACTTTCTATCATCGAAGAATTAAATTGCACAAAGTGTTTGTACTGCACCATGTTACTTTACTAAATAAAATTTCTACTTCGCATCACTAAACAAAAAATAATATCTACTGGGGCTCCCATTCTTGACAGAGAATACAAGTTCAGTAGCACACAAGACCCGTACATTTACACGAGCGTTTGAAACCGGAGATGCCAACTTAGGGAACTAGCTGATGCTCTGTCAGAAGCTGCTGCGCTTCCGTTTGTTGTTTAGAACCAACAGGAACCATAATTGCAGGAAGATTAGCCGGTCGTCCTTCACTCGATAATTTGGAGACCATGTTTGGTGCGAAGGAATGAGGCAGGGGAACATTAACGGTCGGAGGCATCGTGGGCTTAGCGTTGGCTACAGGCCGGGGGATGCTGCTCGAGAGAGCAATATGATGATTTATAACACTGTCACTGCCCCCACTGTTGCTACTGCTGCAGCTGCCGTTGCTGCTCCCACTACTACTATTGGCATTGTATTTGTCTGGGATGCTCACTCCACTGCTGCTGAGAGAAACATTGCCACTGTGTAGCTCAGCAGGCATCAACCTTTTCCCGTAAACAACGCTGGCTGTACAGTTACCTTGAGGAGCCCTCTTGTAAATTAGAGAATTATTGACGCATTGGCCACCACCCTGAATCGGCTGCCCGAGAAAATTGTTCCCTACTGCCATATGGACAGGGTTCTCGGCGTTGTAGCCTGCAGGATTGCCATAAGGAATGGCGCCAAGGCCGCGTGGTGCATGCGATGTGCCGTCAGTGTCGGCGTCAGGCAAGACGATGTTGTCCGTGGCGCTCACAGCCAAGAGGCGTTCCACCACACACGCCGCCGTTAGACGCGCTTCGAAGTCGTGATCCCAGCACTCCTCCATCGTCGCCACCATCACTTCTACGCCCTGCAAAACGACCTCAATTATATAACAAACTTGCTCATGGCGCTGCACTCAATTGTGACAAATTATGCAATAAACCTTGTGTTCACATTTTTTTTGCAGTTTTCAGATTTAAAGTAAATAAATATCAGATTTCAAAGAATAAGAATAATGTTAAAATCAGATCAAAGCGTCAAATTTCTAACGAAAAGTGAAAGGTGTTACTGACAGGGTGGTTGAGCCAGTGCTTCTTGATGGCAGGCCGGCACTTCTGGACGACGACGCACTCTTGCATGTCGTCGAGTGTTGGGTGGTAGCCGACTTCCTCTTCGAAGGGAAGTTTGTAGTCACCCACGAGGCCACCAACACCCGTGCAGCGAGACAACAGCTCCCACAGGACGAGACCGCATGCATACATGTCAATACGCAGGATGGCGTCTGTCTGGAAGCTGATGGCGCCTTCCAGCACCTCAGGTGCCATGTATCGCCGAGTTCCCACCTGCCAGTTCATCTCCTTGCTTTAGCTTACAACAAACACTAAAGTACATTATTATCCTATGGAGTACGGTAGTTAATGAGAACGTTTCATGATAAAAACCCAAAAAATTAATAACTGCCAAATACTGCAAATATAATAATCACAAATAATATCTGCCAATAAATACACACCAAGAGTCTGAGCCTTTATAAAATTTTCACTAGATGCAACTTTAGTCATTATTAAGTTTCTGAAATAATCGTACGATTAGCCATTGGATAACACATAATTCTGCCGTAAGCTCACCAACACGCAACCGAGCAGTCGTTCATAAACATAACACATACCTGTCCCCGTGTATCACCATTGGACTGTCCACCGTAGAAGACGATGGCAAGACCAAAGTCAGCAATACAAGCAGTGAGGTCGGCTTTGAGTAGGACGTTCTTGCTCTTAAAGTCCCGGTGAGCGATGATCGGCTTGGGGGCTTCCAGCCCGTTGGCAGGGAGCTCCTCGTGCAGGAAGCACAGCCCCTGGGCCATAGTAAGCGCAATGCGTCGCACCTCAGGCCACGATACCGTCTCCGCCTGCCAGACAACAAATGGGATTATACATTCTCCACTTGGCGGTCATGGAATAAAATTATATTTTCATTTTCTAGTATACCTTAACCTCTTAGGTATCAAATGAAATCTTTTTTGAAACAAGAATTCTCTGAATGCTGTCCGCATGACAGCTTTTAAATAGAGTTATTTTGGGGAATCTGATTCCGTAACACTAATAAATATCGTAGATTATTTTTAACAAACACTTTTCCACCCATAAAAGCAGTAAGGGCTGAAAAGTAATTCAACTGTGTTGTACGGTATAATTAGAAATTATATATTGTTTTAATGTGAGTTAATGCCCGTCTCAACTCTCACGCTGCTTTCATATCCTAATAAAATTTTTCAAATGTTCCTTCATCGTAGATTTTTATCTAAATAAATCGGTTTTCGTCAAACTTTATCACTGTAATTATAGATAACGGTACTGTTCCGTTTGGGGATTTTTCGTCGGCTGACGGTGTGTACTCTGTTGGTGGGCGGTTTGTGTAATATGGAATTAGTGCGTAACACTTGGGCGGAGCTTGAACGCATGTTATGCTGCCTAGCTATAAGATGATCTGTTACACTTGCAATGTCAGGCGTTAATGTTACTGTCATTCAACCTTGGATATTTCATCATTAATAACTTCAATGTTGGAAGATAATTTCCTCGATTGGGACATGTCCATGAAATCTTCCTCATCTATATCCTCTTCCTACTTATCCGGTAGCGACTCAGGCCCTTGTGACGTCAGCTATACGTAAACTATAAAACACTGTAATTAACCAGGAACTGCAGTCATGGGCGAGAACAGTCGTATGTAAGCTCTTACTCCTATCCATGTTAAAGGATATTAGAGTCAACTATAGTCGAGAGAATGATAGATGAGCTTATGACAGCTGTGTTTAAGCTCCCACATACAAGACTTGATCCCCATAAACTGTGCGCCGCATATAATCTTTAAATATTGCTCTGTAAAACGTAACGCTGTACCTCATTAATCCTCTTATCACTACCACTTACCGACCCAACCTCAGGTCATATATTATATATAAATATTAAGTGATGGTTGTGACAAGAAACGCACCCTCTTACAGTAATTCTGTCTGAACACTAAACAAAGATTGTTTAATATTCTCTGTGGTATGTTCTACTGAACCACCAGAACGAGTGGCGCTACTATAACTTTAACAGATGTGGTAGTTTAGCCGTGTTAAGAGTATCTACCTAACATGGAAGTTATTTTCTTCACAGGGCTCAGAGCGTCTTCCTCTTCTTGCCTGGTCAATCAACGGTCATATACTAATGGTCTAGATAATTGTGAATGTGCCTTCATCACGCTTAAATAGTAGGTCAGATATATATTAAGCGACTGTTTCATGTGGAATATTACTTTGTTGGTAACTTGAACAAAGAACATTTCTAAAGCGAAAATCTGTCCTCACTCATCTGTTTTGTATTTTCTATTCCATTCATCTTAGGCCAAAGATTCACTGTCATGAGAATGTAATTCTGGATTGAGCGGAAAAGGTTACAAGAGGCATAGGCTATTAATTTGTGTGAGAAAAAATATACAAGCGTGAGTGAAGGAAGCTTGTCTCATAAAAGACATTGCAGCTTCTGATATGCGACTACATTGTACACATGTTCCCTCCTGAAAAAACATTTAGAGTACATTAATGTGCATATTAATTCTGCACAAACATGCAAATGCTGTTTGTTGAACGATTTTTATGGTGAAACGTAAGAATGTTCTCATCAGTTTCAAATCCCCAAGAAAAATTTAATTTAAGATAATTGATAAAATTACAATTGCCAAACGTGAATGAGGGTAACCTGCATAAATAATAACCAGACCAAATTTATGTTCTATATCTCAAGAGAAGAGTCGCACTAGCGAAAAAAATTAGGCCCTTCATACGCACGCATTTTACGGACCTGACATCACGACTTTGGATCTATTAAGGGCCTCAACAGTGAAAGGTTGAGAAGAGCATAGGTTCTCTAAATATCTTGCCACGATCAAATTGTGTTCTCGTGAGTACTAAATATTGTTTAATCACAAGTTCTGACCTTGAGGTAGTCAGAGAGGGAGCCCCGGTAGTGATAAGCAGAAATTAGCCAGAACTCCTTGAGTAAGTCGTCGCCGTGCTGCTCTACGCCCATGAACTCGAGAATGTTTGGGTGGCGGAACTGCGGCAGCCCATAGACTTCTTTTTCTACGTGCCACGAGTCGTGATCCTGCAAATGTTGTTACAAAACAATTAGCAAACTTACAAAAATTATATCCTATATTATTACTGCAGACAGAATTCACCATATCTTTATTTCTTTACAGCTTTCTACTATATCTTGGCGAATTGGTGTATTTATGCGAAATCTTTGTTTTTAAATTCCTTCCATGTAATTCGTGTTAATTATTGACAACCAGGCTCAATACGATTTCACGTCTAGTTTGATGGTATACCAAAGACAGAGAAGCAAATTGCTATATTGACGCTAAAAATGTTGATAGTTTTACTCCAAGAAAGGATTTTAAAAGGTTCACCTAAAGAAGTCTGCAATATTCAACTTGATATATAAGTATTTTATCATTGTGGGTATAACATACCGTTGATGGAAAAATTTTGACAGCAACATATTCGTTGTTTCTGAGGGCCATCCACAAGGCCCCAAAGCGTCCTTTAGCTTTAACTTCCAGCAACTTGACGGGCTTTTGAATTGCAGGACTAAGGGTCGAGACGGCCGTGTGTTGAGAGATGCTCTCGGGCAACAGCGCCCCTGACAGCACCGTGCTGCTCAAGCCAGGGGACGCGCAGTCGCCCATGCTGCTTGGCAGCGGGTAGAATGCCGGCTGTGGGCACACGGCATATTGGCATGATTTAGCCGGTGCAAGGCGGGCACACGGCATATTGGCATGATTTAGCCAGTACAAGGCGGGCATGCGGTATATTGACATGATTTAGCCGGTACAAGTCGGGCTATGGGCATGATCATATTGACATGATTGAAGAGGCCTTCCAAACGTTGCAAGACACAGCAGTGCATAACTAACTGCATTCGAAAGATATCAAATATTGAGTTGCAGTGAAACATCCAGAAAAACAATTCACAGTTGGTTTGATTTCAAGCACAAAACACAAAAAAATTATTTGATGGTAAGATGTTTTCATACTTGGGCATTATGTACTGCTTAACAAAAAATACATATGTATAGTTAAGATTCACAAAACCAAAGCAGACTAGTTGTAAATTCAGCCTTTTTACCATCTTCCTCCTGTAGCAGTAGTGGTCAAGTCTTACCATCTTCCTCTTCCTGTAGCAGTAGTATCCAAAGACGACCAAGATCCCAACAATGGCCAGAGCTCCGAAGGGACACAACACCAACACTATGACGCTGTGGTCCTGGTTTCCTGTAAAATATTGTTACAAACAAAAATTTTTATTTTATATAGATTGACCAAAGATTTATCCAGACTTACCTTATAGATACTACACATTACAATTTCTTTAAAATGTATTTTACAAATATCATTTTTAAAATTTGATTTATCTTCAATGAAATTAAAACTCAATATTGAGAGAAAATTAAACTTCACTTCATTTAAAGGATATAATGAATTCCAGATTTGTACAGCATAGAGCACCAAAGAAACAGTTACAATAAGGCCTTAATTTCCCTTCCTTCTGAAGGAAGTTCATGCAGCTATGTCTGATACCATTAAGACAATTTAGAATTCCTACCGCAACATTGAATGCAATAATCAACAGCTAATCAGGGGCATTTAAACAAAAATCAATCAATTGCCTTTCTGTAATTGGATATTGATAGAACCTTCATGTTGCAAACCATTCAAGATGAGGATATTAATGCCATTCACAAATCATGAATTTAGCTTTAAAATTAACATTTGTCTTTCCAAATAGCTTTCAATTTTTTATCTATCCTTTGCATCTAATAAAAATTAATTAAATTAGATAAATAATTATAATACAAAAAATCTACCTATGTACACAAGACAACACAACTTGACATAAAACAATGAACGGGATCTAGAACACACCAGTAGGCTTCTGGAGTCGTTCAGGCATTGGCTGCCACGAGAACTCCCTGTTGCAGTTGTTAGAGAGGCAGCAGCAATAAATATGCTCACGTATCTCTGTCACTCGGTTGTGCTCCTCAAGCGCAACACACTTGGTCTGGTTGCGGCAGCTCACATCACCAAAAAAACATCCTTTCTTGGTTACCTCAACCTTACACAGAAAAAAAGAAAAATTAAATATGTGAAAAGGAGTCAACAGGAATCCAAACATATGTGCAGTAACTGACAACACAATGCAGCAAGACGTAACATGCAGTAAGATGACAATGGTTAGAAGATGGTTGCTTTATGATAGGATATTGACCAAGCATACATTTATGATAGGAGAAGAAACTCACTTTTCCTTCAGTAGTATTTTTCCATAGGACAAAGCAGCTGACATGTTCTGATGTTTTATTTTTGTGCATAACACATTGCTGAGTGCCTTTACAGTTAGGTTCCTCCTCCAAGCAGGCGTCATGATCATAATACTCGCATTCAGTTGTGATGGGAAGATTGTTTGTTGATGCTGAATACAGCTTGTCACCATCATCTGTGAAATATTTATTTGGTAATCGTCAGGTAATACATCAAGTGATAAGAAGTTCTGGTCATCCAATGCAAATTAGATGCAATGGAAAGAATTACAAAGGGAAATGGTTCTTTAGATAACACGTGAATGCAACAATGAGTTTACTTGAAAAACAGCTTATAATAAATTGATAATTCATGATAAAAAATGTAAACCAATAAATTTTTTCTTCAAGATTGATGTTCCACAATATTCAAATTATCAGCAAAAAATTGTACGTTTAATTTTCTGAATCAAATCCATGTGAGTTCCTCAACGGTAAAAGGATTCACAAATTTAAATAAGAACAACTGCAATACCAGGCCGAATTAGGCTTAAATACATTCTGTCTAAAATTATGGAATTGTAGCAAGAAGATATCTCACCAGCAATTACAGCAACAGAGTAGGGCAGTACCATCACCAGTTCCACTGTCAGTAACACAATAATGTTTTTCATGATGAAATTTGAGGCTTTGCAAACAAAGGAGCTATTACCAATCCTATGGGTTTGTTTTCCCAGAGTAAAATTCATCATGACTTCTCCAAGAGGTTCAAATTATTTTCTTATTTTCAACAACAGTCCAGTGATCCGAAGAGAGTAGCAGAAAAACTATACAGCAGCACAGCAGTTCACATATTATTTACATTAGATTCTGCAGGGTTCATATATCCAAGTCCATAGCATCAAACTGCACTTCAGAGCAATATTTAACAAAGTTCTACAGGCAACCTCAATGCCACAATAGCTTTTCATAAGGAGGCAACATTAGGAACAGTCATTTTTCATGACATGAGCAGTACATGGTAATGTTCTACTGAGACAGCTTAGCCAAATTCAAGATAATTCCCAAGTCTTCACACCTGAAACACAGGTAAAATTTTCTGTAACATAAATAAGGTTCTACATGAGTTAAGCATGCAATTGAGTTGAAAAAATACAATGATGCTAGGTTCCAATCATGAGTTGGGTTAGAAAATCATCAAAGTTCTGGATTCTCAAATTTTATGGATAAAATTTCCTTGAGTATGAAAATCCTTAAGAGAATTCAGCATGGTAGGATTTGCACCTTCTAATTAACATATATCCTGAATAAGGTACCAGTAGTGATTGTGAAACATACATAGGTAACTATGTTTCACGTTTGAAGCAGCAGTAGTAACAGCTTAGCACTACATTAAGCCGTTACTCTAATGCGGTGGTTCCCGAAGTTTTTCAAGCTGGCGCCCCCTTTGGCTCCCTAGTGAATTTCTAGCACCTCCCAGACACATATAAAATCATACGCCTCTTTTTCTATATAATTTAGCGCACTGCAACTTTAAAAGCTAAAGGTTAAAATTTCACAAATAGAGAACCAATATGTTTTTCAGTTGTTTCAACTGTTTCAGCACTTGAAACCTAGGGCGTCTCAGGCAAATTTACGGCCGGACTTGTGGCCGATCTCACGACCAATCTCCAAATTCAATTATCAAGTAATATCTCCCAAACTAATGAATGCAGCTCAATGTAACTTGGAACATGTATTCATCAGAACTTAACGGTGATGTTTAGCTTTTGAAAATTTTGTAAACTTCACATTCATTTGTGATTTATATTGCGATACAGGCCAAAATTCGCAGTGATCAAAGAATTTCCTCCAAACTACCAAACAGATTTGAATGAAATTTGGAATATATATTCCTAACTACGAAATGGTGTTTTTCAGATTCATAAATTTTTTAATTTTACCTTTGTTTGCAAGATTTTTTTAATTTCACTGTCATTCTTGATTCCACCTTTCCTTATTTTGGCCCTTATTGCCGGTTAATTTGTTGCTTAAATTTGCAGCGATCAACAAATTTCTTCTAAACTACAGAACAGATTTCAACATAACTTTGTATATAAATACCTAGCCTCCCAATGGTGTTGTTTAGCTTGTAACAATTCTTCTATTTCGTTTTCGTTTGCAAGTTATACAGATATAGGAGGAACAACTGGCTTTTCTACCGGCTGCTTTATGTATAGCCGTATAACTCGCAAACGAAGGCAAAACGAAAAAATTGTAACAAGCTAAACATCACTGTTGCTGAGGTTAGGTATTAAAATACTAAATTTAGTTAAAATCTTTTCAGTACTTTGGAAAAAATTTCTTGATTACTGCAAATTTAAGCACGTATCTCTGTTTAAATCATGGATGAAACTTGCGAAAGGAGGCATAATAAAAAAAAATTCACAAACTGAACATCACCATTTGGTAGCTAGGACTGTAAATTCAAAATTTCGTTTGAATCTGTTTAGTAGTCTAGCAGAAATTCCTTGATTACTGTGAATTTTGGCCTGTATTGCCATATAACTATGGCAAAAACAATTGAAGGCAAAATTAAAAAAATTTTCACAAGCTTTACATTACTGTTAGGTCCTAATGAATACGTGTACCAAGTTTCATCTAGTTAAGTTCATTAGTTTGAGAGATATTCCTTGATCATTGAATTTGGAAATTGGCCGTGAGACTGGCTCGAGCCTGTCCGTTAATTTGTCCTAAGCCTAAACCCAGGAGAGGTTAAAAAAATATAGCTCAGTGCCCACTGCAATGAGTGACAGAGAGCACATTTTCTCATCAACAAAAACATGAAGTCACGGACAGACAGACAGACAGACATGGCAAGCACATTAGTGCATTTTTTTCCATAAATTAGAAAATGCGCTAAAAACAGATCTGGGTAAAAAAACCATCACTGGGAGTCATGTGCTGCACGTGTTGTGTACAAATCGTCAAACATTCGAACTTCTGACTTTGACTTTGGACTGCCGCCTCCCTATCGCCCTCTTCTTCTTTACCGCGCCCCCCAAAATCTTTCCACCACCCCTAGGGGGGCAATATTGCCCTCTTTGGGAACCACTGCTCTAATGTATGATAGCAGCTTAAGCAGGCATTACACAGAATGAGCAATCCATTAGATTTGAGACTCCCTTCACTACCACTCAACATGCAAATGTGCTCGTAGCCATACATTGCCATGCTTAAAAGGATATTACCTGCATCTATAATTATATATTTTGTTTTGATGCAATTACGAGGCATTGCAAAGGGGAAGGTGCTCAAACAACATTATGTAAATGTAATTTCACACTATAATTAATCAGATTAATGAATTCCAAACCATAATCAAACACAATCATATATGATGTCAATTTAGAGTGAGATAGAATTTAGGTCTTCATTAAATAAGAACTTAAGCTTAGGAACAGTTATGATAGCAGAGAGAAGAATACCTATCAAATTCTGTTTAGGTACAGTCTATTAAAGTACCTATTCCAGTAACATATTTTCCATTACTAATTATTTATTTATTTATTTGTGGCCACAAAATTGTTTCATTGTGTGAAGTAACATGCAATGTATCACATGTGCACGTGTGATGTCACCGCAAGCTCCGCCTTGCAGCCTCAAACATGGCCTAAATGGCAATGTGTTCTCACGCTTCCAATCTCCATTGCCCAACAGCAGATATTGTAAATATTTTTTAATGTGATATTATCAAGTGTCAACATTTAAATAATGTTGAAGTTCTAATGTCTTGAGATATGCTTTAGCAAAAATGCAAGCCAGTGCCTTAGCTACCTTGGTGTGAATCGTAAAGCTGTGTTGTAAAGCTGTGAAATCCAACATAGGAGTGAAGTGTGTTTGAAATCGTAACCTACGTAAGTAAGCAAAATATTTTACTGCTCAATTTTTTAGTATTTTAATTTACTTTGTGAATTGCAATTACATTGTATTTGATTAGGTATTAGTAATTTTAGTCATTGAGTGCTGGTATCACTAGGGCAAGGGAGCACAGTCTCCTTCACCAAAACTGATAAGGACCCACAATCCTAAAATTCCACTATGCATCAAGGTAAGCAAGCCCTGCACAAACACATTGTAGCCAGGTGGTTATTTCAGTATTTTTCATCGCAAACCAAATCTGTTATTCATTTGTTCACTCAATGTATATGTTATAATTCAATACAAAACATTTCTCTTTATTTTTTCAGGCAGGGGGAAAAATTCCAATAATATTATTCATGCATGTGCTTGATCAGTGACATTGTAAAGTTCTAATAGAAGCAGGCAGATTGATGTCCAATGCTCTGACGACTGCAATTGCCTTGGTGAGTGCTTGTTAGAATCCATATTGTATAAAGCTTTTAAAACCAGGTATGTTTGTGTTCATTCAGCTTAATAATTGATTTACTTTATTCATGCTTATGTTTATACTTAGCACATAAATTTATTCACTTTCTTGCAATGCTTGCTTTTAATCTAAAGAACATAAATTGCATAATAGCGAGTTGCTTATATGATTTAACTTCAATGATTTTACTGTTTAAATCCTTTAATTTCAATGCTTGCTATTTTATTAGTGAATACCAAACTGTTGTCCATTTATGCGTTTCACCCAATAAGTCGCAGTTATTACCACAGTTGCAATAGTGTCCATTTACCTTGGTTTACTTTAATCTCTTGAATTACTCTTGTGTGATGATCTTATCAGTTATATTCTGAGCTGAAACTACCACTTGCTGCATGATTGTTATGTCAATGCTAAGGGTTTTTGGTTTTGATTGACTGCTGTGAGTGAGGTTCTTTTATTTGATTTTACTTTTATTGATTATGTTTTATCTTTTACAGCTCAAATACTTCACTCATGCTCCCAATGTATGGTTACATTTCATTCAATTTGCAACTGCATCTGTAATCACTGCCCCGTACTTTAACAATACATCCATATCCAGAAGAAAACTTTCATTCACCTAAGTTGTTGCCAGAGATTAAAGAACCTGACATAAGCATTCAATGACCAAGGAATAACTCTCAATCTAATGAAGCAGCTCCATGTAACTTAGTACACATTTTAATTAGAATCTAACAATGATGTCACGAGCTAAACATCACCATTGGGGGTTAGGAATGTATATCCAGAGGTCTTGTATATCCAAAGGGTTTGATTGCGCCTGCCAATGAAGGTGGATCACACCTTCCATGCAAAATGACAGTTCTGAGTCAGCCGCCAGCTGTACAAAACCCTAGGCCACAGGTCACCCTACTCAGAGCAAGAGAGAATGCATGTGACCAGTGAAGGAAACACATCTCAAGATGAGCAATGGCTGCCATGCACAGAGGCATTGCAATTGCACAGGCAGTGCAATGTGAGAAGACACTGTAGCAAGAGCAAGAAAGAGCATGGTGGGCAATAGCACAAAGACTGACCACCACACATGTGACATCTCCGAGCAACATGCATGAGCTTCCACACGCAACCAAAGCGCACTTGACCTCCGGTGCTCCGACACGAGGTCCGGCAGCAGCACACCCCACTCAAGCAGACACCACTTGACTTGAAACAATTGCCGGGCATTGGTGCGCGTGATCAAACTGCAGGGCATTCTCTTGCACTTGACTCTCAGACCAAATCCTTCTTTTGAGGTTGGGGATCGAGCTTGCCAATTTCCCTTACCTATGTGGTTCTGATTCTGCAGAGGCTACGAACCTTGGAGACTGGATGCGGATGTGGGTATGATTTGTCTCAATCTTGTTGGATGTTTGAGCTTAGCATGAGAGCTAACAAGCTTACCCCAAGACCACGTCTTCAGGGACCCACCAGGATCTCTGAGACGTATCACAACAGCTGCGCCGCTTTGCCAACGTGAGAGAGCCTTATGCCATTTCAATTGCTAGCAGGCTCCCCACACCAGTTAACTAGAGAAGAGATCTCCAGAACAAGCAATGGCTGGCTGATGTGGTTAGGTTCCAATTGCATTGGAAGTGAGTGCAGAACACTCGGGGGTATTGAGACAAGTCTTGGAAAACATTGCCCAATTCCCTTTTGCCATGTACGATTGCAGACAGTCAAGCAAACTGACC